CGGATTTTCGGCCGGATTTCAACTTTGTATCCCCTAATTTCACACTTTTTTGAGATTACGGCATTCCCTACGCATTTATGTTTCCTCATGATTGTCACCATACAATCAAACCTTGACCACCTGAGCAATGCGCGTCTCTCAAATTTTGCAAGGCTACAGCCTCCTTCTGGGTGCGAAACTCACTGCCTTGATGAATTCCTATACAGTCAAACCCGCGCACATGCATACCCGCGCACATGCATAACCAGCGAAAATGCATGAATTTTGGCTTCCACCCAGCTGGTGCGGGCAAATTTTGGTCTTAAATGCATAATTATGTCAAAAACCATAATGCATACTTTTTTTAGATCCCTGAAGTCATAACGCATAGTTATAAACCACACTGGGAAGATTTTTTTCTCCACAAACTCAAACCAAACCTTCTTTGTTTACAATCTTTGCAATGTCAGCCAGCAATTCAACCTCTCTGGGGGTTGAACCACTCAAATTCAACACAGAAGATCCTATTCATGCCACTCGAATTGGAAATATAGTATTTCTTGCACCATCTGACCTCAAGCCCTCTCAATTCCCATCACATTTACAGTTTGAAGAACATGATTTACACCTACTCGAGAAAGGGCTTGAAAAGCTTAAAGAAGAAACTCAAACACGTGTTGATCAACTTAAATCCGATCAAGAGAATGGCCAAACTCTTGCTCATGAAGACCAAGACTGGCTTGATGACGGAGGAAATTTGATTACCGAGCAGCTTATAGTAGATATACTCTTATCTCTTGATGAAATCAAACCCTTAAAACTTAGTCTTTACGAGTTCAAAGCAGTACAATCCATAATCTTCTGTTATCAATCAAGTCTTTCTAAAATTGCCAAAATCAAGATGGATAAAAAAGAAGAAAGTAAACGAAAATCACCTAACAATTCTCTAGATGCCGGAAGTCGAAAGAAGGCTCGCTCTTCTCTATCCAAACCAATCGAGTCAAAAAGGACCAATCGGAAATCTGGAGCCACCAAACAGACTTTGACTTACAATCAACGTGTCGAGGTACTCAATTACTACCACAAAAAAAGTGGTGAAAGTCAATCTGCAACTGTCCGACACTTTGCCAAAGTGTGTCCAGAATTAGGAATCACACAGCCAAACATCAGTCGTTGGCTGAAAGAAGAGGCTTCGATTCGAGACACTGCTGATAGTGTTAGTAGTCAAACCAAACGCAAGTCCGAGCTCAAGTTCCCTCAAGTTGAAAAGCTTCTTGTCGATTACCTCCGTGAATGCGAAAAGAGAGGTCAACTTTTTACCAGCGAACAAATTGAAGAAAAATGGTTCCAATTTGCTCGACTTGAGAAGATCCCAAGCAAGGACTGGCTGACCTTGAGTGGTGGATGGTGTGACACATTCAAAGCACGTCACAACCTTCGCGAGATCAAAAAACACGGCGAGGCTGCATCAGCCAGTCCAGAGGCAGTCGCGGCCGAAAGGAATCAAATGCTCAAGATCACTTCTGAGTACAAACAGGGTGATATCTATAACATGGATGAGACAGGTCTGTTTTACGCGTAAGTCTTCTGTTGCTTCTCCTCTTCCTCGCTTTTATCTGATTGCTTTATCATATGTTTTAGGATGCCCCCTGACCGTGGCTTAGCGAGTCAGAGTGCTCCAGGTGTGAAAGGAAACAAGGCCCGTATAACTGTTGTTTGTACTACAAACGCCAATGGGTCGGACAGCCGTTTTCTGACCTTCATCAACCGATGGAAATCCCCACGTTGCTTCAATAAGAAGACAGCATCCAAGCTTGGAATCGATTACTACAGCAACTCAACATCTTGGATGACCTCAACAATCTTTGAGCAGTGGATCACGAAATGGGATAGAGACCTACGAGCTGAAGGCCGAAGGATCTTACTCTTACTCGACAATTTTGCTGGTCATACAGTGCCACCAAATCTCATCACAAACATCAAGCTTGAGTTTTTTCGACCAAACCTCACAGCTCACGTTCAACCACTTGATGCTGGCATTATTCATGCCTTCAAATGTCATTATCGCAAAAGATTCCTCACTCGCTCACTTCGACGTCTTGACAGCAAAGATAGTGCAAGTAAAGTCTACGAAATCGATGTTCTCGCTGCGTGTCGCTTGGCAAAGCTCGCTTGGCATTCTGTCACCAAAACAACGATTCAAAACTGCTGGGGCCACTCGGGAATCATCAAATTGAAGGATGATGTTGTGTAAGTCCCTCTTTATACCCTCTTTAGCTCGCTGATCATGTTTCTGATATTCCTGGATACTCTTTCGCTTGTCCTCTTTATCATAATTGTAGCCTTCCAGTGTTCGATTCAGCCAACCCACCCGTTCCAGAAGGTTTAAACCTTGAGGAGGATTTGCAATCCCTTCAAGATTTGGGTTTACTCTCATCCAGGAGTCGGATGTCTTTATCCGAGCTTTTAAATCCTGAAGACGAAACATTATCATCTTTAAACGCTCCAACTGCTGAGGAGATTCATGAACAAGCTCATGTCTCTCAAGAAGAATCGGAAGATATTTTGATTGAAGCCAAACCAATTCCTACCACTGCTGAAGCCTTAAAATACCTAAATGGTCTCGTAGCTCACATCGAAGGGACCACGACCCCTCTTGGTCTCAAAGTAGATCATCTTTTACAACAGTACAGTCATCAACTCAAGTCCGACCTGTTCTTTTCCTTTAACAAACAGTCATTGATTTCGGATTTTTTTCAAAAAGATCCCTGATCAAGTTACCTAAACGATCGGGTCATGTATGTACATACATTGAAATGGTCTTTAAATACAAAATATACAATTTCTTTCTCTTTACACAGAAAAAGCACACCTTGCCTTTTGTACCCACATGAGATTCAAACATGTTAATGCATGATTCTATACAATTTCGATGAAAACCCTTCATAATGCATATTTTCTATGCATTTAGCCTAAATGCATACAAGTATGCATTATGATGGTTTATGTCTATTTGCATAACCCGCGATAATGCATAGCTTAATTTGTCTCCCCAAATTATGCATTAGCGCGGGTTTGACTGTACAATTTTTATTGAGGATTAGAAAAGATTCTGAAGTTCTCGAGCTTGAAGTTGCTGCTCGACTGTCAATCAATTGTGATTTGTCACCCGACTCTATGTGACAAATAAGTTGTATGTAAGTCACGTGAGATCATGTGCAGTCGCGTTGTTTCGAACTTTGAGCGCCCGGGCCTTTGTTGTCGCGCGATTCTGGACTGCAACCTCACCTTCCTTGCCGACTCAATCATCAAAATTCATTTAGAAAAACTTATCAAGACTTAGTTCGAGAAATGTCCGACTCTTTGAAGTATATGTACCTCCACACGGAAGGGGCTGTCTTTCTAGGATATAGTCCTGATGCAAGGTGGGTAGGTAGTCTGATCAATTTGTGTCACCACGATATGAATGCTGAGGCAATGTATGTTGTACCAGATATTTATACTCTAGTGGATCGGATTGCATGCGTTGCCTCGATGTGAATGATCCTCTGGAGTGCTTGGCGACGATCGAATATCATAAAAAACCTGTTACACGCTTGGATTGCTCAGTAAGCGTCAACATTGCTGAAGTTTACTTTTCTTACCTCGATGGGATTAGACACAAATGCTGAGATAAAGACCAAATGGTCTATGTAGCCAGATCATTTAGCTTCTTGTTCTGAATCGGGCGAAGTTGTTTTACATAAACACGCCTCCTCTCCGAACCAATCAGCCGGCTTTCACTCAATTCTCGCTCGATCCTCGCTTGCTTCACGATGCGTCAGGTTTTCACGAGATTACAAGAAAGTGGCAGTTTGCTCGGATGAATTGATAATTAAAATCATTGATGTTGCTCAACCTTTGAAATGCCAATTACTCACGGGCCATACCAGGTCTACAAAATCATTAGCTTGGTCACCTACTTCGGATTTACTCATTAGCTCTAGTTGTGATGGAACGCTTCGGATTTGGAAAACATCAACGATTGAAAATGATGATGAACCTGAATGTATTCAAACTATCGCCAATATCATACCCTCCATTACGCCTGAAGAATTGACGACTATCGAAGCAGTTTGGCATCCTTCTGGCGATTACTTTATTGTTCCAACACGAGATGAAGGTCTCGCCGTTTTTGAAGCAAATCCACAGGGACAGTCATGGGAACAGCGTCGTGTTGTGAAACGTCATCCTACCTCGAGTAATAAGCTACCTAGCACACTTCAAGACCACAAGGCCTCTCTTACGAGCATGGCCTTTTCGCCTAATGGAATTTACTTGGCAACTGGCTTCATGGACGGTCTACTGATCATTTGGGACGTTCGACAATGGCAATATGTTTGTCACGTAAAAGAAGATCAAGTGGAATCCGTCACTTCGATTTGTTGGAAGCCCAACGGAAACGCGCTCGTTTTTGGCGAGCATCAAGGTCAAATTGTCACATGGAATGAAGTTATTTTTTCACATCGCGATCATCCCTCTAATCCCTTGAAGCACGCCAATTCCTCAACAAACCGGTCTTTCCCTCCCGGAAGAGATCACGGCTTATCATCTAATCTAATGGAGCCTGAAGAATTTGATATTCACAGCGATGAACTTGATGACGATGCATGGGCTATCGACGAGGCTCCTCGAGCCGGTGTTCAATCCACTTCCGATCATATAAGTCGGGTTTCCAGATATTCAAAGTCTAGTGCATCACATCGGAAGCCCATGGGAGATGCTAGTCGACAAGCTCCCTTTCAGTGTGGCGCAACCAGGATTCGACTTCAATCAGGTTCGAGTGGCAGTCAAAGACGGTATATGGCGTTCAACTCCATTGGTCTAGTTCATGCGCTTGAGAAAGACATGGAAAACTCAGTCACTGTCGATTTCCATGATCAGGGGAAGAGACCCCGCTATCATTTTACCGACCGATCACTTTTCAGTCTATGTTCTATGAGCGAACTCGGAGTTGCATTCGCTTCTCGTTCTAATAAGTCTGGAACAGGGGAATCACTGATTCGTTACGATCCATATGAAAGTTGGGCTACTGAAGGTATGAGCTTTGCTCAACTTGGAGAAATCACGGCTAGTAACGGTGGAAGTTGGCAGTATAGCTTACCTCAAGGTGAAAGTGTGACTTGCCTAGCTTGTGGTGGAGCTACACAGGAACATGAAGATTTTGGATCAGATGGAATCACTGGATCTGGTTCAGTCATCGTGGGTACTGATAAAGGTTATGTACGATTCTTCAAGGGGAGCGGTATTCAATCATACCTCTGGAACCTCGGTCAACAAATCATCAGTCTAGCCTGTAGTAACGAGTGGGTTTTCGTCGTTCATCGTAGCCTACTGGATTCTTCCAGCTCACTTCATTACACTATGATGGACACGGATACTTTTGAGATCATACAAGAAGGCTTGATGCCTTTGTCTAATGAACAGACGATATTGACGTGGATCGGATTCACCGCACAACACTCTATACCAGCCTGCTTCACCTCTGCGGGGGTATTATCGTTCTTAGACAAGGCCCGGCGACCAAAGCAAGGCAGATGGGTTCCGGTACTTGATACTAACGATTTACCAAAGTCGGATGGACATCTGCAGCGGGTGTATTGGCCCATTGGGGTATCCGAGAGCCAAATTTCTTGCATAATATTAAAGGTAGAGTCGTTTTTTCTATACAATTCAGCAAAGTACGTCAAGATCGGAAACTGAGATCATCCTCTTGAATCTTTTCGGCTCTATTAGGGTGGAGAAACTCAACCCGGATTCCCTACCCCAATAGTTCAGGAGATTGACTTACAGATGCCACTTGTGCGGATGGATGAGTCTCAGGGTCAATTGGAAGAAAGGTCAGTCATGATTATCTTTTCAACAGACCAAGTCTGTTTTAACAAATTCCTCCCCGTGCGTTTCCTAAATGCAGCCACCTTCGAGGATCTCTCTTGTACAATCATCACTCAGACCTTACGAGCACAGACGATTATTCCACTAAAGTGAATCTCGACTTTCAAAAGGTCGAACTGGACAAACAATTACTAAAGCTCATGCAATCTAGTTGTAATCATACTCCAGCACCGCAATTACAAAGGGCTTTAGATTATGCGAATTTGTTGATGAATATGAATTCATTGGAAGCAGCTAGTAAGATGTCTAAATACTTTAATTTGATCGGACTTGAAGATCGAATTACAAAGGTGAAAGAGTCTAAAGAGCTACAAGCTAGTACGGATCCGAACAAACGGATCTCAAAATACGCGCACCTCGAAGATTATAACATCATCACTGGATCGAAGCCATCTGTCAATGGTCGTAATACAGGTCGAAATAGAGAATTATTTGATAAACCATTCGAGAGCACGGTTGCAAAAGGACGTTCTAATGGTGGAGGTAGTCTGTTCAGCAAAGGCAAGGTTTTCAAAGATCCAATGCCTGAAAAAATTCAAAATCAAGATGAAGAGATGGAATATCAAGATGAAGTAGACAACGGTGACGCACATGATGAGTGGGCACATGAGCAAACAGCAGACGATTTAACTAATGTGGAATTTGAAGCTTTTGATGAAAGTCGTGCTCAACAACCTCCTCGGCTTTCTGAGTACCACTTGACTAATCAAGCCCCTGCTCCTAGAAGTGTTTGTAAGTCTAGTTAGCTCCTTTGACCCAGAAAATGTGGACGTACTAAGCTCTACGATCTGACATATGTTTCTTAGCTACGAACCCTTTTGCGAAGAAGGCACGGCATACCTCTGCTTTGAATCCGAATTCCCCGCCTACGACTAACCCATTCAGCTCTAAAACAACAACTTCAAAACAGTCTACTCTCAAAAAACCAGGCGCATTCTTCAATCACGTTGATGAACGAGGTGCTATTGCCGGAAGCGCTGCCAAAGGCAAAACACGGCAATCTACATTATTCGGATTGCCATCTAAGACTACTGAAACCGTTCCAGAAGGACAAAAGAAAGCTAAGAAACGAAAAAATGAAAGTGATCAAGATAATTCAAAGGAAGTTGAAAGTCTACCAGCTAAAACTAGTCGACCACTTTCAAGTTTCCTATCTAAAAAAAGTATCAAATCCGTACCTGAAACTTCTAATACTTCTGAGATACCTCAGATAGATGTGGCGATGCCTGACGCTTCAGTGATCGAGAAGGACCAAGGTAGTGTAGCTCAAGAACTAGCCCCTGAAACTCAAATCAATGAATCACCGGTAGTAGAAGAGGAATCACAAGCATCATTAATGTCAATTGAATATTCACAATCCTTGCCACCTCGGATTAGATCCACTCATCCAGAACCAGATAAAGAAGATGATAATGAAACCGAACAGAAAGATTGATAGGCTTTTTATGAGGTTATGATGTAGAGCAGAGTAACATTTGTGCTGTTTTTTCGATGATGATGAAGTTGGATTTTTCTTACTCTTTTATTGGATGAATTTGGCTTTATGATTACCAAGATTGAAAAGATTTGTGTACAATGTATAGTAATAGAATCTGAGCATATGCTTCAAGTTTTTTTTTGAAATTCTCCTTGTTCAAAATACATGACGCATATGAAAAGAGAGTGAAACTTTTCTCGTGCAAGGTTCTTTCAAAGTGGATTTCTATGTGTTTGCCTTAAGACCTCGAGTTGACGTGTTTTTTGGCATGAAGCTCTGTGAGGTGGATCATCACAGAAGCTCTTGCCAAAAAAATGTGTATATTCAACATCAAGAAAAGTAGTATTTGAAGAATTTTTCATAATACCAAAGTCATCAACACCCTTGTAGCTTCACATCAACCAGATCAAATATACCAGCTTTGCAATGACTGTAAGATCTTTTTGAGTTTCAACTTTTCATTGATCACAATACAACAAATGCTAAACAATCATCAAACAATTTTATCAATTCTTTTTCAAATTTTCTTGCACCAACTTCCGCACCATCTACAGCTTGGTATAACAAAGTCAATTGACATGTATCAATCAAGCCTTATATACCAAAGTCCGTTGATTGGTGGGGGAGTTGGTGAGAAGAGAGTTTGTTAAAAAATTAATGAATTGATTGAATGATTGCATGGAAACTGGTTGAATCAATATTGAAATGATGAATAAGATGATTTAAGGAGTAGGCTATCACTGAAAACATACAAAAATAAAAAAAATAAATCTTAGATAAACAATCATCAATCAAATCATTAATTCCTTCTTTGGTTTTTCTTGCACCAACTTCCCCACAGTCAATAGGTTGGTATATCAAACTCAATGAATCCATGTCATTCAAGCCTTATATACCAACTCCATCGACTGGTGGGGGAGTTGATGGAAAGAAATATCATCAAAGAAATTGATGGATTTGATTGAATGAATTGACTCAGATTGGAACAGATTGAATCAGATGTGTTTGGAGAGATGATTCAGGTGGTAAGATATTTTAAAACAAACAGAGAACAAATTCCAAATGATATAAGCATTGTCAGCAATGATTGCTAATAATCTTGGGCAATTGTTGTGTAGACAATCAGAGAGAAGAGGGACGCGGAAAGAGCATTGGATGTAGAAGGAATTTTTCCGGTCGATTGTTAAAAGTGAAGAATATGAAGTGGGAAGAGTCATTCGAAAAAATGGACAATCAGATGGAGAATTAGAATCCTACTTTTGTGTTGGACTTGAAGTACATATTCGAGATACGCATTTATATATTTTTCTACGCAGGTAAAAAGCATACCCGTCCGTGTTCCTTTCTTCCGACCATGCGGTTCATCTATCGATCATCCTTGCAAGTGATTGTTCAGCTGACCAACTCGCTTGTTTTGACAGATACGCACAAATACAAAGGACAACCACAAATCACAAAGGAATCGTGTACGTATCTGGAATCAGAAGAGCCAAGAATAACAAAGAGTCCGATGATTGATCCATGTGGTGTACGTTTGAAAGTGCATGAATCTACCTAACTGCTCTAACACCTAACTGCTCTAACAATCCGATCAGCTGTTTAACTTCTCTGGTATCTACTTCCTATCAATGATCACCTTCAAATCCGTCTTTTCTCAATGCTTGTTGGAAAATAGCAGTTGTTATCCGCTGCACTTTCCGCGGTGGAACATCAGGTGCTTATACAGTGTCGTCCCTTTGATGACAACAGTAGGTCACAGGCTTGCTCGTGTTCCAATTTCTTGTTTGTCTACAGAAGCTCATTCAACGCATGGCCGTCCCTGAGATGAAAATATTTGAGATTTCTCCTTTTCCAAATCGACATCTGTGTGTTTGCTCCAATTTCTGGTGCTGGTAGAACTGTCCATTTTCACGCTGAGGCTATCTGGCAGCTCCTTTGTTTCTTGTTTCTCTTAGGCCGCTTCTTGTCCTACCTTATCAAGATATCTGTTTGGTTTAATTCTGCCCGTTGAGCAAAGATTTGAGATTGCCTTGTGAGCTGATTTCTACATACTTATCTTTTTCTTTCTCCAATTTTTCAAAGGTTTGAGCGCTTTTCCGTTATTTATCAATTAATAATGTACAAAGCTTGAATCATCTAAATCAAATTGATAGTCATACAAATTTATCTGATGTTGGATAAGACAAATTAAACTTTATAGCTTTTCTGAAATTCTTTCAATCTGCTGAATTGAACTTCAACGGTTCATATCCACACTTAAAAATGATCATGGAATTTGATTTTGAATTAGTTTTCCATAGTGATAACAAACAGAAACAAAGATAATCAACGGAAATGAAAGACAATAAAAACATACCAAATCATATAAACCATTTCCATTTTGTCTGGTAAAGTTTTGAGAGTTAACAAATGAATCCAAATTACAAAATCCAGATTTATAACCTTTGCAAAATTCCAAAGGTATCCAATCATCATTCTAAAACCCAAGATTTCATTGAAAACCCCAGGGATTAATCAAAACAACAATCAAAAGGTGGAAATAAGAGCAAGTTTAAAAGTCACTCAACTAATAAGATTCGGATTTGATCATTGGGATCATCATCACAATGTACCTTCTCAAAAGTCAATCTACTAGCAAATGGAACCATTGAACTCATTCTCCATCCTCTATTTGGTAAAGGAGGACCATTCGGTGATAAAAGTGGTTCCATTTTGATTCCCAGTGCAGATATAATCGAAATCATCCTACAAAGAAACAGTGTTGCAAAGTCACTTTCGAAGAAATTGAAGAGAAGTAAGAAAAAACTCAAACTGATTATCATGTGAGAAATCTAAATAGACTTTACGATTTAATGGGAATGTTCCTTTAGATTGAGCTAAAGTATGATTAACCTAGAAATACAATATCAAAATCAATGAATGCTTGAACCCCTTGTTAGAAGTCTAAAAAGGATGAGTGGCTCAACTTGTGTTTTATCATTTTTAACATAACTAGCATTTACAGTTAGTCGAGAAAGAAGCTCAGCAACGTAACCCACACTAGAACCGCGATAAAAGTCAAGTCGGGATCTTTTCTTATATTCGAATTATCATGATCGAAAGGGCTCACCCTTGGACCGCACCGAGTTCATTTCCATATCCATGTTTATAAAGCCTGAAAAATTAAACCTCCTTTAAGATCCTTAAGATTATAAATGCTGATTTTGATTATCTGATATACTCAACTTGTCTAAATCAATATAATATTCTAGAAAACAAACATTTTCATTCATATCAATCTTTTTAATATCTCAAGGTGAAAGTTTAAAGAATATTGGAAGTGAAAACAGTGCTCACCATAACCAATCCAATCCGATTTTTCAAAGAGTTTACAAAACCGACTATATTTTTGATCCGCTAGAGAGTCAAAACAACATAACTGAAAAGACAAAGGACAGTTCGAAAAAAATAGATAAATGTTTTAGTCTGAATTCATCGAGCAAGCTAAGAAAAGAAAATTCAAAAGACATACCTGCATTAAAGAAATAACATCGATTTCATCAAGGTTTAATCCGATTGCTTTAGAATTCAACCTTTTTATAATTGATCTTGTAAAGAATTTTGACCATTGATTTGAGTAAGGTAAATCCGGTGAATTTGGACAATTATTATCATCCAATGCTTTAGAACAAAGGATAATGGTACATCGCTTGAGTGTTGACAATCAGGCGGCAAGTTGCTTATAAAATTATTGACTTTACTCAACTGTTGTTACTCTGAAAAAGAAGTCCAGGGAAACCATGAGCACAAATTAGAATTAGAGAGAGGGCCGATTGATCAAAATTCAAGAAGACTTACTCCGGGATTTTCTGAGATCACTAATATATCAGAATCATTAAATTCAAAATTGGGTTTGAGATCCAATCCAATCAAAAACTTTTTAGAACTTTCTATTACTCTTTCAGAAGAACTAGCCCTAACAAACATTACTGATGAATTCGAGTAGTTTTCATTCTGATTTTTCCTTGAAAATAGACTTGGATATCTTTTTTTGAATTCTTGACCAGATTGAAAGCTTTCATGTTCTCCAAATTCATTCAATGAATTTTCTAAAAGATGATACCTAAAAGAAATCAACAGAATCAATTTGATTTCGTTCATGTTTCTATTTCAAGTAAACGTAACTCAACTTATAATCTTGAACGAATATCAATGTATCGTCAATCGGTATTGCGTTTTTTATCTTACTTAAAGCATTTTGGATCTTAATCGAAACATGAATAGTAGGATATCTACTGCCATGTCTTTGTAATTGACAGACCATCAACACTTTACATGTCTTTGGTAAAGTCGGATACGGGTTTCTTGTATGATAAGGTGACCTATTATAGTTACATTCAAACAGAGAATATGAGATTTCTTTTTGACTTGATTTTTTTTGAAAAAATGATTTCTTACAGTGATCCTGCGTGGTTCATTATCCAATTTGGTAAAATTAATTTATCATCATCATCATCATCAAAATTTAAATCTTCAAAATAATTCAATAAAAGTAGAAAAATCAAAATCAAACAGATTAAAGTGAAACGTTTCTTCATTTGGTAGGAGTCGGACCACATCAAATTTCTTGGAAAATATGAAGGTTCAACAAGTTTGTAAAGGAGGAAAGACGACTCGGTTTTTCTAAAGAGGTTTACAGACATACTGTGTGGATTCGCTTGTTTTGCATTAAACACAAACAAGAATTTACAAAACATCGATCATCAGGAGGTTTTTTTCGCCAAGAAGATAATTGTTTGGATGATGATTTCATCGATGGAAATGATGTTCGACTAAGTTTTGAACAAAGCTTGGTTTTTTTCTGTAAACTTATCGAAGTTCCCTTAGCTGGTGAAGACGATTTCTGAAATTTTGAGAAAGGAGAACTTCCCCTGTCGATGGGAAATAAATATACGGTGGCCGAGAATCGTCATACAAAGCTCAAGATGCGAAAATCAAATGTGAAATTCCCCTGAGAGCCCCGTTCGACGTATCCCGAGCCTCAGTCCGCAAGTTCAGAACAGTTTGAGAAAAACCGGCTTCAGACCATCTTTCAAGTCGGCGCGGTTGATCAATCGCCATATCAAGAAGCTGTGCGACAATCGAAGAATCACACATCGTTATATGAAACATTTTGGATTTTCGATACATTTCTGCTTGCTCGAGGTAATTTAACTGTTTTGTCTATACACTTGTTTAGCTCTTACATACCTTTCCCCGTCAAATCACTAGAGCTCCCCCACTTTGATCGTAAAGGCACTAGGAAAGAAATCAATCGATGAAGGTTCCCCAAACAGATATCGGGACAAGGATTTAGGAGTGCTTTCTCTTGAAAATAAGTAAGCCCACTATATGCACTCACAAGTGATGGGATGTGTAAAGCGCTGATGCTGTCTGAGACTACTCGTCTGGTTATCCATATGCCAGCTATGCAGTATGTACTTGACACTGGTACGGGCGGCACTGGGGTTGTCAAACCCTTCAAGTCATAAATTTATTTAAGACCACGAACAACAAGTTTCTGAGATCAACCATTCGCCTCCCAACCATGTATCGGTTCAACAGGAAGTCATGCCAAAGCATGGCCTTGATGCTCCATTGGCCAATATTACTGACAGCTATGGGCGGTCGGGATGTATCCCACCTCGAATCGTTGTCTTTGGCAGAACCTCTTGATCCGGCACTTAGTCAGCCCTCCGTCAACACACTATTCGACAAGCTAAGCCTGGGATCGTCGACTACATCCACTATGAATATCCCTGCCAGCTCTACTGAGCATATGCCGCCGATTGCGAACATGCCCGGTGGATATGACGAGGATGTCAGTGAACCAATCCGAATTGTCATGGCGATCAAGACAAAGAATGAGCCTTGACGTTTTTCTTTTCGGTTGAATAACTTCGCTGCTCCAAAGTCCAAGCCCATATTACGGCCCATCTCAGAGACAAAACAAGGATCAGGAAGGTCTTCGGAATCGTAAGTGTTCCTCATTAGAATCGGATAAGCCTGTCAATTTTTTCCTAATCATCAATCGCCAAATTGTAGCTTTCAAGATTCTCCAAGTAGTACATTCGACTCACTTATTCAGGAACCACTTCATGCTCAACACGCGAGTTATCTATCAAAATTTGAACGATTGTCGATTCATCCCGATGAATACAGTGACATACACTCCGCTCCTCTTTCTAAACACCATGGTGCCTCGTTAGAAAAATCCACAAGTGGCCTTCTTGACAGTGAAGCTCGCCCAATTTCGAAAAGTATAGTTTATCTCTTCAGAGCAATCAATTACAATTCCACTTAGCCCCATGCCAAGAAAAGCCAAAACTGACATCATTCTTCCGAGGGGTCTAGATGAACAAAATGACATGCCGACCTCTCAGAATACAAAGTTGCCTTTCCAAGCTGCGTGGGTGACTGCTCCAAGATCAGGACGGGAACGTCTCAAGCGCCCAAGTCCGACTTCTCAAGTCGACCTACGACCTTCCAAGCGACCGACTCATCATGATCCTTCTTTATTTGATGGGGATGACGAATCCGTCAGACAGGTCAAAAACAAATCTCCTCAAAAAAAGTTTGATTTGGACTTGATGGATCACAAATCATTTTTGCCTTACGCATCAATAGATGCATACCAGCCTCGTATCAATCGAATCATGAGCTCAATATCGGAACGAAACAAGTTTACAAAAAAATTTCCAATCTCCAGACTGCAAAATCTTTGGGATGATTATATAATTATGATCGCCATGTGTTCTAAACTCGTTTCTTCAGATGGTAAACATACAAACATAGATTCAGATCTTCGTGATGCCATTAACTGGATGTTGGAAAATTGGTCAACAATTCCACAGAAAGGTTCCCGGCGTCCTGATTTTGTATACCACGACACCGCACGCTGGCTGTCTCTTCGACAATATAGCCGCGCCCGCGAAAGCCTCGCCGCAAAATTCATAGTACGATTTGTGGGCGATGAGCGACATGCCTGGATCGAACCTCTAAATCGACTTACTGATGGATCTTGGGAAACAACGTTAGTACGTTCCTTGGAAAGGGCACGAGACGATTCAGAAATAGACAGAGCTGTGGGGGCTAGATGGCGCGCTCGACCAGCCGACAGAAGGTGAAAGGGGTTTTATGAGATGACGGACGACTTCATTTTAAGTTCATCAACTCAATCTTGACCTTCAAACTTTCGAAAAAATTAAATCAATAAAACCATAGTTATCTTTCCTTTGTTTTGAATTTCCATCTTTAATACAAATGACAACATTACAAAACATGGGCTCCGGCTGTTTGCCCCCTGTAGACTTTCCATTCGGTGCCTCACCTGCCCCGACGCAAGTGTCAAAGACACCAATGGCTCTGTGAGTACAAGGAGATTTATATTGTATTTATACAAGAAAAAACTCTACCAGATGTCTTGTCATCAATTTATGTATAAATTTGTTTCCTTCCTCTTCAAATTGTTGATTCAATTAAAACCAGTCAGAAAAGATCCTCATCTCTTGCGTTCATTTCCGCAAAGGTCTTTTGTTACATTTTCATGAGGCTTTAACACCATTCCACAACAATGAACATTCACTGCCAGCCGCGTGCCATCTAAAACTCCAGGCGGCTACTCTGTAGAACAGACTAAGCCGTCTACAATATGATACCTGGCCGGTCTGAGCCGTAGCAAGTTTAGGCATCGACATTTTTTGTACATATTTCACGGATCAGAGTATTTTGGAAGCTGTGTTGGCTATTAAATTTGGTCATCAACATTGATTGTAAGACAGGTAGCTGATACATGTTTCAGATTAATGTGCTTAAACCAAAGTGATTTATTGAGTGTTTGATCCCATGTGCACCTTTTTAGCTCTTATCGATCCCCACCAAAAACACTACATGTATAAGAATCACTTTGTGCGTAAAAGGTCTACAATCTAGGAGGTAGGATTTGCTCGAAGGGTAAATCAATGAAGATCTTCCGGGCCGAGATCCAGAAAAGAACGTCGTAGTTCTTTGTTTTTAAAGATTTTGTTACGTGTAAGTGAGTCCACCACATGCACTCACAAGTGATGAAACGCCTAAGTGCGATGATGCTCCCCTAGACTATATATGCATGTGGTCATCATGCTAGCTTTGCAGTGCTTGACTCGTACGGGCGGCACTCGGGTTGTCAAACCCTTCAAGTCACAAAATTATTTAAGACCACGAGCCACAAGTATCTTATATCGCGCATCTGGCACCCAACCATGTATCTGTTCAACAGGAAGTCATGCCAAAGCATGGCCTTGATGTTCCAATGGCCAATATCACTGACAGCTATGGGTGGTCGGGAACTATCCCACTTTATTCCGACCAGTCCGGCAAGTTCTGCAGGATTGGTACCTTTGACAGAAACTCGTGATCCGGCACTGAGTCAGTACTCCCTCAGCACACTCTTCGACGAGCTAAGCCTAGGACCGTCGACTGCATCCACTAGCAACCTCCCTGCCAGCTCTGATGGACAAGTCACACAAATTGACAGTATGCCCGGTAGATATGGGGAGAATGTTAGTGAACCAATCCTAAGTGCTGTGGCGATCAGACAAAGAATAAGCCTTGACTGATTTTTCGTTTAAACGACTTCTCTACTGCAATGGCTGATCCCATATTACCTATCTCAAAGACAAAAAAAGGCTCAGAGTGGTCTTCGCAATCGTGAGTGCTTCTGATCTAAATTGAATAAACTTGTTAGTTGTTTGCTAATCATCAGTCGTCGAATTGTAGCCTGCAGGATTCTCCGAGTACATACAACCCACGTCTTGACCATGAGTTTGAACGATTGTCGATATTTTCCGACGAATACAGTAGCAGGCATTCTGATGCTCTTCCTGAACGTCATGGTATCTCGTTAGGAAAGTCCCCAAGTGGCTTTCTTGACAATGGAGCACGGCCGGTTTCAAAAGGTATAGTTTTCTGTCTTTTGGTAAATCTAGCGGTTGGCCAGATATATTTCCCCTCAGTCTCGTACCAAGAAAAGCCAAAACTGACATTTTCTTTCGAGAGGTTTAGATGAACAGAATTCGGATCAAGACCAGCACATTATGATCTCTCAGAATACGCTATCTCCTCAAGATGCGTGGGTGAAACCTCGAAGACCAGGACAACTCAGCCTCAAGCGCACTAGGCCGAGTTATCGAGTCGACCTCCAACCTTCAAGTTCCAAGCGACCGACTCATCGAGACCCTTCTTTATTTGATGGAGATGACGTCTTCATAAGTCAAGTAACAGACAAATCCCCTCAAAAAGCAGTCGATTCGGATCGGGCAAATCCATCACTTTTGCCTTACGAATTGATCGACACATACAAGCCTCGCATCCAAAACTTCATGGACTCAATCTCGCAACATCAAATTAATTTAAAAGAGCACCAGAGAAAGTTTTTAATTTCCAATTTGCAAAAGCTTTGGGATGATTACCTAGTTATGATCACCGCCTGTTCTGAGCTCATTTCCGCGGATGGTATACATACAAACCTGGCGGAAGATCTTCTTGATGCCTTTAATTGGATCTTGGTAAAATGGTCCGAAATCCCGAAGACTAATCTGCGAGAGAAAGCACCCTGGCGTGCGGGTTCCGTATACCACGACACGGTATGGTGGCTGACTCATCCGGTGGGTGAGAAAGAACGTAACAGTCTAGCTGCCGAGTTCATAAAGAAATTCATGGCTGATAAGCGACAGGACTGGGTTGAACGCTTAATTCCCCATAAAAAATTCATCCGAGCTTCTCCCCCTCTTTGGCGGTCGTTCAAAGCGCGACAAGCCGAGAGAAGGGGTAAGGGAATTTATGAGATGACGGACGAGTGAATTCTCAACTCATAAAACCGATATTGACCTTCAGTTTTTGTTGAAAAACTCAATTAATCAAAACCAAAATTATTCTCGCTTTATTTCAATTATGTTTGTAATCTTTGATTGAATGTCGAAGTGATAAAAAAAAGTTGCGGCTTTTGGCTGCCCCTAGAGCTTCCATCTGGTGCCTCTCTCGAATGTCAGATTTACTAATGATATTGTGCTTGTAGGGAAGTTTTGATGGTAGTGATACATTGTTCATCATGAAGAGACTAACTTCACTAGGTGTTTTAGGGTGCTTTGTCATCAATCTATATTATCTTCTCTTTTCAAATTGTCCATTTAATTTTGAACCAGTCATGCCATGTCATTGTGTTCAGATCCACAGATATCTTATATTAGGTTTTCAGGAGGAAGAGAGCTTTATCACCATTCCACCTTAGTTGTTTTCAAAATCAAAATTGAGAATGATGAGACAGTTTGATTTTGATGAAAACTATCCTCAAGATCATACTCTATGATCTTGAAAATGTTGAAACAAACATTCACACAAAGTTCATAGAAAACAGTGACATACTTTACATGTATTGATACACTCCGAATGAAGAAATACATCCATTCTTATAAAGAATACATGATTTTTATATGAGATTTGTTATAGGAAATAGAAATACAGCATTCAAGATTTGAGACTTGAGATGCTTCTAGATTTGAACAAGATATTTAAGAGAAAGAAAACTGTTTGAAATAGAACAATTCAAAAAGATTGTTCATATCAAAACAAAAATCAATTAGTATACAAACCAAGAGTGATTGGATGAGTAAATGAAGACTTGATTCATTTTTTCAACTTTTCAAAGACTGATGACCAAAATTGAATCAAAAAAGATTCAACATCAGGTAAAAATTCAAAATATCAAACTTCAGGTTTGATTAAAAGAAAATAGAAAAGGATATTAAACTTACGTTGTAGACAATCAAGGTCCAAATCTTTAAACTTGATATGAGAATTTGAAAACTCGAGATGAATTTCCAAACCATGATCAGAAAGAGATCCAAGAGTAAGAATTTGCTCTGAAAGATTATTGGAAGTTATATCAGTTGATTCAGATTTCAATTCAGTGAGATTATCAAGATCAAAAGTTTCCAAGTATTCAAAAACACTAATTTCATGCTTTGCGCCCCTATTTCATTTGAATGATGTTAAAGATCAAATTAACTTCAAAACTAGAAAACTAATCTGAATTCTGGATGAATGATAGACTTACCTCCAATTAGTTCCACATAGGATAGAAGGATTATGATGTCGTTTCTTTGTACGTCTTGAATTCAGATTATATAAACCCAAATTAATTAAAACTGTAGCTGATTGATGATGTTTTGTTTGATCTTTGAAAAGTTCATTGAATGAAATATAATTGGGGATTTTAGATGGTCGATTTAATACTTCAATTTCGCTGTTGAATTTTGCACAAAGCGTTTGATTTGGACCATTTGTGGTTTCGAAATCAAGGAAATTTAAACTTGTTTTATACGTTTTTGTATAATCTGATGGAAAACAAATCTCGAGCTAATATCAATGCATATATCGAATTTGTAAACGGTTTTTTTGCATGTACGTTTCCAAAAAAGCGGTATTATTAGAAGAGCATCCAAATTCATCTTGGAAAAGTTCGAGAAAAGGACATTTTACTCAACTATAAGTTTATGATCACAAGATTTGATTTCGATTAAAAATTCAACAAATCTTGATCGAAGTAGTTCCAAAGTTACACTCGAAATCAGATGACTTTTTGTTTCATAAAAAGGCAAGTGCATTTCAATCAATCATTCACATCAGTGTATATCTTGATTTTTGTCTGTGATGACAATGATCAGAAAGACTTACATACTTTTGAATTTGAGAAGATAAAGATTTCAATTCTTGAATACTGAGTTGATTGAAACAAATCTTGAGTAATTCGATTGGTAAGTCAGTAAGTTTTGATTTTCTCATTCTTCGTGGTTGTTTTCTTAATGTTGAAGCACCAGGAAGCACCACACTGTAGAACGAATCCATCTTCAAACCTTTCACTGATCTGTGACATTTCTGTTTTCATTTAAATTCTCAAATTTGCAGATCATGAGCAGTGGAGCACCAACATCCAGCACCGATCGGCCGGCGGCGTGAAAGCGTGAGCATTCGCAGATACGACGTTCCGCGGCCACCCTCTTCAGTGAACACGGTCGAGTACGCAGTCAAGCTGGTATCAATTTCGGATCTTGAATTGGGTACTGTGAAAGGGCCAACTTGTCAAGTCCCTCAAAGCGCGGCGTCCCTTGAAGACCCTCACCCTCCCTCATTACCGGTGCCCTCATCCCGCTCTCTATCCGCCATGAGGATGGGCTTGCGTTAATAGCTATATGAAAAATTCACATCAAACTTGCATGGTACATCCTAACCTGCGGTCTACCGAAACCCTCAAATCAGTTCGAACTTCGAAGAAATGAATGATCACTTGGCCTGGCACAACTCTGAACGGGTCCGGCCCAATTTCGTCCGACAAGTAAATTATTCTTTGATAATCGCCAAACCAATTATCACGTTCTGCACCTGAGATCTTCAACTTATGTTTGTAGCTTTATATTTTTGAAGTTGGAAATCAGCTCCCAGTCTTCGACTTGAATTTTGAACTCTGTTCGGAATCGATCGCAAACATATTACTTGTCTGTTTTGATTGATTCAATAGCGATCATCTTGAGTCCACAGAAATAAAATCATCATTTCGAATCAAAAGCGAATCAAGTCAAGTCTTGGCTTGGAATAAAGTACTTGCTGTGATATATGAGTCAATCAGCTTTATGAAGAAGATAACTTTTTATCTCAACAAGGCATTTCGTTTAAAATCCAAGAATATTAAATACCTTATTGAATTGGAAAAAAAATCAGTCCAGATATGATTTCGGGCAAGAAGATCAACTTTATGTGTCTTGCCTTGTCAAACAACAAAGAACAAAATTCAGTCAATCAGTTTTCAATCCCATTACTTTGCTCACTTCATCATCCTTGTCGTTCCTTGCCACTTTCCTCACCTTTGACTTTCTTTTTTTTTTCGTCGTTAGATTAGATTGACATTACCCTTGTTTTGAAAACTTTTTTTTTTACAATTACCTTTCGTCCATTTTAGAGACACAGGTTGTCTTATTCGATTCTAGTTGTAATTTGATTCATTTTCTTAATTTTGATTTTAACATTCGCCATTTTAAACGTAATACCAGAATTATCACTACCTTCTCCTATTAATTTTTTCTTCTACCATTGATTTTGTTGTCTTTTAGTGTGTTCAAATCTAGATTTTTTCTAATAGTTGATGAGATCAAATCAAGAATTAAATTAACCTCTCCTTCACCCAATCCTTAACTTTACTTCTTCCAGATTTTTAGTCCTTGAACATTTAAATACATTAATCTCTTATCATGGCTATGATTTCATATGGTATCTTGGCCGATGCAAACTCATCAGATTTTTTAGGAAGAGCTTCTATCTTGAGTACAAAAGGAACAGATGTGCTTGCGATTCAAGCAGATGCTACAATCTTTGCTTACAATCCTGGTGATATTGCTTGGGTTTTAGTTACTTCTGCTATGATTTGGTAAGTCTTTCCTCAAAAATCTCAGTCTTTAAAATTGCATTGATCCTCATTTTTTCATGTTGTGTTAGGTTCATGGTTCCCGGTATCGCTTTCCTTTATAGTGGTACGGTACAAGGAAAAAATGCCCTTTCACTTTTGCTTTTACCTATGTTGGCAATGGCAGTAAGTCAATTGCTCCAATATGATTGGAATGATCCCTTATTCAACTTCAAAACTCATTGTTCACTGTTTTCTTCCTTTTTGAAAAGGTCGTTTCCATTCAATGGTGGTTTTGGGGATGTTAGTAATTTTTGTAAAACTAGTATCGAGTCAATCTTTTACTTACATCCTTTCTTCTTCTTTCCCCAATAGATTCTCTTGCATTTTCACCTCATGCAAATGCTTTTATTGGAGATCTTTCACATATTGGATTTGAAAATGTTTTATCTGAACCTGAGCATTCAACTTTTAATAAAGTCAGTTAACTCTTTCAAATCGTCTTTGATATTTCTGAATTTTCTAACTTTGAATTTTTTTTTTGAAAATTCAGGTACCTGGAATCGTCTTTGCTCTCTTTCAACAACAACAAGCAGCCTTAGTAGGAGCAGTTGCAATAGGAGCAGCAGCAGAAAGAGGTAGAATCGGACCTTCAATGATCTTTCTCTTCGTATGGGCAACTCTAGTATACTGTCCTTTAGTAGCCTGGATGTACAATGAAGCAGGTTGGGCATTCAAATGGGGTATCTTAGATTATGGTGGTGGGGTCACAATGGAGATTTGTTCTGGGATGACAGGATTAGCTTACTCGATCTTTATTGGTAGAAGAAGAGGTTATGGGATGCATAAACATCATCCTCATAATGTACCACATGTTGCACTTGGAACTGCTTTTCTTTGGTTCGGTTGGCTTGGATTGAATGGGGCTGGAACTTTTGCTGCTAATGTTAAAGCTGCTTTGGTTATGGTCAATACTCATCGTAAGTGATTTCAAATCAAGCTTTTCTGTTTCAATTCATTCGCTTATTTTGAATGATTTTCCTTTTTTCGTAGTTGCCGCTTGTGCAGGAGGTCTAGTTTGGATCATCATGTAAGTTTGAGATCACAACTCGATAAAAATACGTACTTCGGTTTTGCAACGAAACTGATTGATTTCATCTGACAGGGATTTTCGATTGGATGGTAAATGGACCTTGGTCGGGTTTTGCTTAGGAGCAATCTCTGGTATGGTATCCATCACTCCAGCCGGTAAGTTTCATCAACCTCCTTTCCATCTTTCAAGTTGACTAATCCGAATCCTTTGCCTAATTCTTCACTTTTTATCAAAAGCCGGTAAGTGAAAATCAATTAGATAATCGCATATTCAGATATCAAAGACTGATCTTGATCTTCCTCATAGGTTATGTTGGGGCTTCAGCTAGTGTGCTCATAGGTGCAATCGCTTCAGCCATCTCGAATACAACGGTTAATTTCAGACACAAACTTCCATGGGATGATGGACTTGATATTTTTGGAGGACATGCGATTTCAGGTAAATTAATAATCTTACAAAATAATACAATCAACAATCGATAAACTAATTATTCCAATTTTTTTGATTTATCTTGTATAAAGGTGTAGTGGGAGTAATCTTGACTGGAGTATTTGCTTCTAAATCAATTGCTCAAAGTGATGGACATACGATCGTAGAAGGAGGTATGATAGACAAGAATTATAAACAAATGTATAAACAATTAGTGTGGGTGCTTGTTGGATCTGCTTGGTCATTTGTTGTGACTTATCTAATGTAAGTTATCATCTTGACCAAACATAACGTCTTCTGCGTCATTGATATTGATATTGATTGTTTTTTGAATTTTTCTTACTAGAATGATGGTCATCAATCGAATTCCTTATTGTCATTTCAGAGCTACAGAAGAAAGTGAAGTTTTAGGAATGGATGAAGATCAATCTGGAGAAAGAGCATACGTACGTAACTCATCCCCACATTTTCTTCTTTCTTCCCTTAACCTTTTCCATTTTTGATTCTCTAACACAAACTTATTTGGCTTTATTTTGTTTTTTTTTCAAAAACAAAAATAGACTTTCTCAAGACAAAGTAAATATCCATCACATCCACCTCCTTCATTTGATAATAATAAAGGATTAGAAAAAGGAATCGATCATAAATTTAATGGTTCTGATTTAAAAGTCGATCAACGTGATACTTATGCAAATGAATTATTATATTATCATGCTAATAAAGGTTCATCTGTTACTATCAAGTATTCATAAATCAAAATTGGTTATTTTTTTTCTTAACCTGCTTGAATTGTATTGTATATATCTTCTCATTTATGACCTCACGAATTAAACTTTTCTTGTAGGATTTGTCAACACTTTTTTGTTCATGCTTGATCACTTTTGATAATAGAAAAACCCAACTGTTTCCTTCATAATCTCACGTGAGCTAGGATGCTTAACCAAAAATACAAGGCACTTTTAGGGCGCGTTCACTTGAGCAATTTCTGGTGAGAAATCACATGCTGCAAATTTCAAAGTGTCCATTTGGTGGTGCATGTTTCATTTTTGCTTTAAAAATTTTACAGAATGTGATTTCTGGTCAGAAATTCCTTAAGTGAACGCGCCCTTAATAAAATCAACCAAGATGAACCTTAAATCTACATTGACGATAAAAATTTGATCTTCTTAACTATCTCACAACTTTTTCATTCAATAACACATACTCAAGTAACCAAAAACATCAACAGAAAATATTTCCCAAAACTCTAAAAAATAATAATATAAACCCTTGAATGTAATGTAAGAAAAACCCCAATACAGATTTAAATAAAATAAAATAAAATAAACAAAAAGAATGCAAGTTATATATATATGTATAAACAAATGTAACCACAACAACACTTTTGATTCTTAAAAATTTCAATCTAAACCACAAAACGTTTTTGAAATACTTCAACTTGATTTCTAACTTTTATACTTGCTACATATATACTTGCTTTATCCCTATGGAAAAATGACGAGAAAAAAAGTAGAACTGCTATAACCCAAAGATAATGATCAGAGAGAAAAGAAAAAGAAAGAAGGAAAGAAATGGAAGTAAATCTGTATCATCGTGTAGCCTGAACCAAAACAATACCAGCTACTACAAGTATAACAGTAGTCACAGGTGTAACAAATACATAAGACATTAATAAAGTTTTTGAAATTAATCTTTGAAATCGATGGTTAAGTGTATCTTGTTCTTTAAAAGCTTTAGTTCCAATCGGGAAAGGATTGGTACATGTCATTTGTGCTAAAGTGATGGCAGGAGGTGCTCCGATCAAAAGTACTGAGACTAAGATAAAACATGGATCTTCATGTACTCCTCCACTACCATCACCTGTTGATGGGATTGAAGACGTTAAAAGTTTAAGGATGAAGTATAGGATTGGGATTAAAATCAATGGCGTTAAGATTTGTCGTGACATGACTGCAGCTGTGACGGTGAGTCGATCAGATTTGGCTCGAAGGGCTCGGTGTTTAACTGATTCGAAAGGATGGTCTCTTTCGTCTTGATCGGCATTCAGCGTTTCTGGTTTACGGTCGTCGTGAAAGTAGGCACCTAAGGGATGGAAGAGTGATCACAAATCAATGTACGCTCCGAGACGCTGAGACTGTCTATGTATTTTCTCTTAGAGAAACTGACCTAAGACGACCAACGTCAATGGTACCGACACGTGGCCGGCACTCTTCAATGCACTAGAAAATGAAGCCAAGGAAAGGAATGGTCGGTATTTTGAATTTCAGAAAGGCGGTACAAGCAAAATTGCAGAGGAAAACACACCTGCACAAAGGATCGACATCTTCGAGCCAGTCTTGCAAAGGTGGGATGCAAACAACGATGAGTGAGAGAAGAGAAGAATATCTGAAGAGAATAGACAAAATATGCAGCCAAAGTGGCAGACTTAAATCAGCTCTTGTGTTGCGCACTCATTGGTCGTCTTTTATCACTCGTGGTTTCTATAGTCTATGATCAAGTACGCAGGAGAGAAAGGTGACGAACAAAGGTGGAGTCATAAACTGATGAATGCGTTTCAAGGGTCGAATGCAATAGCGATTGAAGAATTTCTGGATTGAGGACTTGGAATGATGATGCCCGTGATGTACTTTGTGGGGTAGGTGTGATGGTGGCCCCAAAAGTGGACCAACGGCATCTACACCATCTACACCACCGATTCCGGATTCCTCTTCATCATCTTCCAATGCGCTCACAACGCTACTACGACGGCTTTGGCTAGATGAAGCAATGGACTCGGCCCATCTTACTGCAATGTTTGGAAAGCTCTGAAAGATCGGACGCCTTAATCTTCCCACTTCTGGACTTGCTGGGGGCTCGTCATGACTTTCACGGTTATGGCGGAGCGCGTATGGCGAAGAGCCTGAAGTGTTGGTAGTGATCGTGGAAGTAGATGTGCGGCGGGGTCTTGTTGGTATAACAAAGGAGACACTACTGGCTGAGGGAGAACGAGCTGGTCGTCCGGTAGAGATTGGAGCGGGCCGAAGAAGGGCCGAAGGTCGGTTCGTAGGTTGTTGATCTTGATCTTCAGAATCAAGATTCAATCTAAGGCTAGACGCAGATAGCGTCTTGGGCACTTCTTCATCATCCGTATCAGCGTCAAGTAAAGGAGTGGATTCTAGATCGAGAGAAGGTGGTGTATGGCGGCTTGCTGGAGTTTCTGCGTTTGAAGTGGTAGGGGAGGAGATTGAGGCTGAAAGAAGGCTGACTCCATAGGACCACCTGAGTACGAGTCCAAGGGTGGAAAAGACAACCAGATATGTGATAGATCTACCCAATTGCTTCAAATGAGCAAGAAACATATGTGATCAGCTTCAAAAGGAGTGGTAGAATCAAATGAGAGAAGAAGAAGAGGTATCTACCTTATCTTTTGAATCATTTGGACCCCATTCCAATCCGTTTGTACCTTGTAAATGACCGATAAGACTTGTCACGAGAGCGATGGGTAATGAATTCGAGTTCATGAACATCGACACCGCGATACAAAACTTTGACTCCGAAGTACGCAATCGAAACACAAAACGAGCTAATAGATGAGCTATGAGGGCAGAGGCAGTAGTAGTAATGATGAATCCAATGGGTACGATGTAAAGCTCTGCCAGTTTATCGATTGTGAGACTGAAGGCCACTTTGCTGAACATGAGAGCTGGGGTGAAAAAGGCGCTAGATCATTTTAGTAATCAAAGAGTGGATAGAGATGAGCCAGCATGTTCATGAGAATGGATATCGAAGCGCTCCAAAACACTAACACATTGATCTGGTTAAGGGTAGTTTTTGATTGGGCGGTGATGATTTTTTTTCGAGCAAGTATATAGCCCACTAGCTGAAAATGAATAAGAGTTATCGACATGAACAAGTCAATACAGGCGTCCTTGCTGATCATATTGAACTATAAGATGAATGTTGCTTACACAAAGAAAGAAGACCTGGTGAATGGTGAAGTGAAAAGATCAGATATGATGGTCATATTATAATACGGGAAATCAGGAATGGTGACTTACTTCCAAAATACTACCAGCCACAGTTCTGTGTAGTAGTAAATGAACAAATCTCCATTGTCAGTCAATGAAGTTGAAGTTTGATTGCGAAATTAATAAAAAAAACAAGCGATGCTAACCTGATGATAAGGAACAAGTTCAATCCGACTGCATCAGTGTTCATGACGATTTGATAAGTATTTCTGATTTGTTCTATCCGAGGTTTGATTGAGAGTGAGAGTGAGAGTGAGAGTGAGAAAGAGGGAAAGTTGAAGTTGAGGATGGTAAAGAGAGTGTCGGACACGGTTATGTGGTGATCCATCCAAATTTGAAGTTTAAGTACTCAGCATCACTTAAATTGACTGCCAAGACTTTTCCAATTTGATATCTCTTGGCATCTCAATCTGTGCTATTGAAATTCAAAAGAACCTCCAGACTCAGATACGATCCTACAGCAGCATACCACACACCACACACCACTCTCTGCACCACTCTATGAGACTCTATGTATGTATGTGATCTCCGCTCATAAATCACCGATCAACTCTCATCGGGGATATCATTCCTCAAAACTAAAGTTATACATACCCAAAGAGGCTCACATGAGACCATTGATTCATTCATGTCTTTGTAAAAATGCAAAAAAAATATCTTGTACATACTTCACTTGACTCAATGCATCATCAACAAAGAACAATTTGAAGAATTGAATTAAAGTCACCTCAGCAGAAACAATATGACAGGCTTGGTCTACCTAAGTGCTTCCAATTTCATTTTATCTCAGCATAACTGCTTTGAAGGCTATCATACAAATCATATCATACAATTAAATCCACAACTAAACACAACTCGGTCTAGTAATTACATTAAAGATGTTCCACATGCCAAATATATACCTATACAATGATTTCGGAAAATAACAAATTATGATTCAAAGCCAATAAGGAGTAAAGAAAAAAATACATGATATTTAACATTACATTAAATGAGAGAAAATGAAAATCGGTCAACTTTGCCAAACTGATACAACAATTACATTGAAAGAAATAGGCAACTTAACGTCAATGATATCAATTAAAAAAACAGTTGAAAAATGATCTATAGTTTAAAGAAGTAGCTTTCTAAGCGAGAAATTTTTTAAGTTGAGGGTTTGATAAAATTACAACAAGCAAAACGACGTAGAGATTGAAACCAAGAAGAGAATTGTTCAATAACAGGTTTGTTGACAAACAGAGCGTTACCAAAGAGGGGGAAACAGATCATGAAGAGTGGTTCTATAAAACTGCAACATGAGGGCTTTACCAAGCTTGCGATCCGTATGATCCAATGGATTGAAGCTCCTACAGCTGTGATAGCTGCGAGTGCAGCAAGACGTGCTAAGGCAGGTAGGTGGGGACGGATGCTGAGTGAAGAGGAGCTGTTTGATCGGATACGCAGATATATCGAAAAAGATACGACTATTATTATAAGATACGTCTGGGTCAGCTTTTGGAGTGGTCCTTGTCATCAGGTAAATAGGTTCGACAGTAAGCAAAGGGTAGAAGACTGACGATTTAAGATGCTGGCTGGAATGAGATGACAGACAGTCACGATGGAAACATAGGATCGTATGTGGGGCTCCGGGGAAGTACACATAAAGTAGTTCACTGATGGAAAAACAAGGCATGTTGGGTTAAGACCTTTGGCATGGGTATTCTATTGACCAACGCTGACTTACTGTGAACTTCAGACCAATTCTGGGACGCAAGCGAAATGAGAACAAGGACGGGAGCTACAGCTGATGTGACAAAAGGCATAACCACCATCACGATAGAGATGGAAGATTGGCTGGGCAGAGCGCAATGCCACCAGGTCCGAGTTACTACCGTACTGCTAGTAGAGGTCTCAAGCTTTCCACAATCAAGAGTGGAACTTGAGGGCAGACTCATCATCGGGGTAGAGTTGTAGGAGGCCCAGTTTAGATCTTTTTCGAATTGGACTTCTAAGTCGTCGCTCTTTGAGACAGGTGATTTTAGATGGCGTAGCTGAAGTAAAATCCGAAGAACCTCCGCTGCGAAAGAGAGAGTGAGTGCGGGAATGACCACTCGGACTATGGAGGGAGAACCAGACTCGTGAGTTTGGGTACCGGCCAAAGACAACATTAAAGCTCACCATAAGCTATCAGGACGGCGTTCAGCTGACATAGCCTAAGGTCTCTTCCAGCAGTGACTAGAAAGATTGCACAATCAATGTCAGTGAGCTGAAGGGTAGGTGTGAAAAGCTGCTTACCATTAGAAGCATGGGGATCCTCGCGATTCGGTATATATTGATCAAAGAGGACGGGAATAAGGGATATCCATGCGCCGAACCATGAAGTAATCAGAAACACTATGATTACTGGGTGCCGTTGCGCTTTTGATTGGATCATGGCAATGGAGACTGCACTGATAAATACGATGGATCCTACCTGATGTATATGATTTAGAAGTCAGTATGTGATCACATCGATCGCTCAGCCGATCGCTGCTAATCCATATCGCAAGGCGAAGCACTGGGCGCCAATCTGAATGATTGGACATGGGGAGTAGACTCACAGCGAGAGTCCGATAGATTTGAGAAAAAAGTATCATATTTGATACCGTTAATTCATCTTCACGGTAGTCGTCCATCAGGGGCATTTTCAAAGCCAGAATCTCCGGAGGTATTCCTGAGCAATCGGAATAAGAGGCTGGAGCTGTCTTATGTTCAAGGGATCTGGCTTTGATAAATCTTGATTCGGACGCCGACAAGGAGCGCTTAAAGTATAAACAAATGTGCTGGACAGCCACGACATACTGATTTTATCATCGCTGTGATCATGAACGGAAGACCAAGTATTGAGCTAAGGATCTGCTGAGATAGCTTCAATTGTAAATTTGAGCTATTCTTGGTCCGCATTTGGTAAAGTGTGGTCCAAGGATCAGCTTCAGAATCGTACAATAGGATGGGCGACGATTTGAATGATCGATTTGATTTGAGATTCAGAATTGGTTGTGTCCTTTTTTTGTCATGATCAAGTTGAATCAGGACCATCCTTGTTTACACCGCGGAGTTTCTCGAGCTCAGACTGAGAGCATTAATCTTGAGAGCGGCTATTTCGCACCCTGCGACGCAGCCTGTCCAGGCCAACACACACCCTGCGACGCAGCCTGTCCAGGCCAACACAAATGTCCCGAGTAGGCCTGAGGCTGTACAACATGTTGCCTCAAGAAATTCTTTCCCATCAAGCTTCCTTGGATACATACACACTGGTTCTGGTTTGTGAGAAAAATGTATATGTCAGGGTAAACAAACCTGCTACATAAACACCGTACGCCTCAAACACACTATATGCGCTGTCGACGCGCATTGTCCCTTACAAATTGCTTGAGGCGTAAATGCCTGCCAATACCTGAAATTCTAAATTTGAGGCATCCTTGTTGAATACTGCTACATACTATCCCCTGGTAGTAGCTCTGGTGATGTGCCAATAGCTCTGTGTGTAGCTGCCAACACTATTCCATTTGCGCACTTTGTGATTGTTGTATCTGTTGCGTTGCGGAGTCAACAAGGCCAAATTGGGTCCACATGCCTCGTGACTTGAACGTGCTTTGTCTCTCAAACTTGCTTGAAGTTGTATCCTCACTCTCAAGTCTCACGTTCACCTTGATCACATTTTGCATATGATGATGTTTGGTAAGAAAGCTGGTACATATACGCGTCAGCTGCTGTGAGGCTGATTTTTTCAACCAAAGATTGAAGGTATCACAGCTAAAGTTCTCCCTCGGATCCATTTGTTAAATGGGAGGGGAAAAATTCTCGGGGTGAGTAAATCCTCAAGGTTTTGCGGAGGTGCGTATCTATCATTGACACTGCGACTCGCCAGCAGAAATCTTTGCTTTATACGAATGCTCAAAGTGAGTCTTTGTTGCAAGTGTGCACAGCTAGATCCCATCTAGCTCAACACAAGCCCCACCAACTGCAGGCGTCCCCCGGAGCCTGCCCTCCTCCGTCGGTCTCGGAGGAGAGGCTTGGTTAAGCCAGGGATCCCATGGATGAATGAGATCAAGAAAATCAATCTGGTAAGTGATGTATAGAAATCTAGTGTTACATTCGAGGTTACAAAGTAGATATCACTTTACTGCATTATATCATACATACGACTTTTCTAGATCACAATTATGTAACAATCTCAAAGTGTTTGTAAGATGTAAATAAGTTTTTTGTTTATTCTACCTCTTGTGACACTGAATGAAAGTCCTCATTATAGAGAGATGAAGGGCCAGTCTGGTGTACTGTGAGGTTCCACGTTCAACTATGTTTCCGATGACGTTTGAACATCGACATTATCCTTTTCCAAATCGACCGAATGCTCTTACTCCAGAATTTTAATAGCAGATTCATCAGACGGGATCTATAACTCCTGCGGCTTGGGTTTCCTTGCCCTGAATGACGACCTCCGTAAACAGGTGAAGGTACCACATCTGTTGGACGTTGATGTTCCGTTTCTGGTTGAGTGTGATCTATGAGCGGGACACGATCCGAGTCTGAAAGAGTATCAGCTTCGACGGGTGCAATTCCAGCTCCTCCGGTTTCAGTGGCTTGAATTTGAAGTTCAATGGATGATGGTGACTTGTGAATTTCAGAGTTGGTTAAAAAGTCCGTGTTCTTTCCCTCTAAGTTTGGAGTCCCATTATCCTTCAACAGAATTTCGTAATGCAGCTGGTTAAGATATAGGGGAAGGTATGGCATATCATTCGACTCACTACCTTGTACCGGAACTACTAAGACTGAGTTATGGTTTAGACTGTCACTTAGAACAAGGAAATTACGCTGATATACTCTGGCCAAGGCTTGAAGAGTCAATTCATCACCATACTCTTTATCTTTTTTCATGTTCGTGCAATACTCTTCCCAAGACTTGTGATTTCCATCAAGAGCAACAAAATGTATAAAATCCTCCTTGTTATTCTCTATATGTGCCACAGCACGTGCCCTCAGCTCTATGTGAAGATCTGTGTTGCCTTGAAGAAGCATAGAAACTGCATAAAATTGACAGTTCCCATCACCTTTGATGAAGTTGGTGACTGCGAAATCCTTGAGACCTGGAGGCTTGATTGCTTGAAGGCTTAAAGCTTTTCCACTTGAGTCAAGAGGCCCGTCCTGGAGTTTGTATCTCAGTAGATCTTTGTTTGCTTGAGAATACAAATCTTCTGATGCATACTTTTGCACGGGAGCTGGTAGTGTAGTATGGGTCAAGGATACGAGGGAATACAAAATGTCATTGAATTTTGTGGCAAATTCAATAATTAAGAGGTGCTAACTGCAAACATACGTTCTTCATGGGCCATTTCACTCGTGGGATGGGTATGTAACACGCTCCTCCCATCGCTCAAGTCTATCGGCCGGTCCACGTTTCTGAACAAATCGACTGGACAAGCAATGCGACATAGTCAGCAATGCTTGTATTTACAACAGCTCGCCAAGGATCGAGTCTGGCCACAGGCATCCCTTTCAAGTACTTTTTGATGGGTTCCTCCAAAGTAAATTGCATGTTGCTTACCGTTTGGTGTTAGTTTGGGGACAGGTGTTGCTACCAGTCGTAAGAATCAGCCATAAGCGTCATACACCGGTGAAGCTCGAGTAGACTTGGGGCTTACTTGGGTACGGGCTTGTTTTATATCGTAGGGGAGTTATTCCGGGTGTAGTCTGCTGGTCCATCCTCAGGAAATTTGGTTTGTTGTACGTTTCGACTGACTCAGGCCATATCACGGAGCTCTGGCTGGGATGATGGGAAAACTGTTGTCCTCCCATTCCCAAATACTCAACACTTGATGGTAATCTTTCATTGATCCGGAAGATAGGTTTAGGATGGGGTGTGGAATACACGCAACTGGAGTAGTAGAGTAAGAACTCAAACAAGAGCCTTCGCGGCTTGCAATGAGCTATGATCATATCTGCTTTGTGTTGTGGGGGAGAGTATTGAAAGTATTTAAAGATTGCTCCACTACGAGAATATTGTTAGATGGTTGTTTGTTTGTTGAGGTTGAGGTTGAAGACCCGAGCCTACAAGGAGGCGTGAGTTGAACTTGAAAAATACCAGTGGCAAATGAAATGACAGTCGTTACAGCGAAGGCGGCAAAGGCACAAGAAACACAGCCTCACGCAGCGATCACTTCCAGAACACTTTGTCCCCGGTCTGACAGGTTGGGAACGGTTTGTGGCAGCAGAAGTGCCTCGCAGGCAGCTCGCAGATTGTAAATGAAAAAAACCGAGAATTGCAATGATGTAGATATTACAGTCATCTCGGGAGTGGATTGATTATTTCCCAAGCCAAGTTTATGTCAATACTTATCACCTGAGTATTACATTACTGCTTGCCACTCTTGCTACTGTACCAAAGGAAAGACGAGCTAGCAAGACACATCTCTATGGAAATAGAATCATTGACTGTACTCCATCATCATGCCGAGTAAGAGCATATGTTCAAACCGATGAAAAATTGGATTGCAAGGTAGTTTGTCAAGTTCGTTACATTGTGAGGAATCCTATTCAGATCTCCCATGTATAGAGAAATACTAGAATGAGGGTTTTCTTTTGGCACCCATAGACTCATATCAAATGTACTCCTGATTTTCTTGGGGAGATCACATGCACAAAATATACATAGTAAGATGCACACGAGCTGCTATGAGGGTCAGCTGCTGCGAGGCTGAACTTTTGACTAAAGATTGAAGATATAAAGCTCCTCATGGGATACAATAACTGTTCATTAGGTGAGAGGCGCCAAATTCTCAGCCTCAGTCAACCCTCAAGATTGTGCGAAGGTGTTTGTTCATCGACACTGTGAGCAATTTCAAATAGATGCTCAATGTGAAGTTTTCTTGCAACGTGAACAGATGGAACCCGTGTAAGTATTTCAATCTGGTAGCCGATCTTGAGGATTAGTGTTTGTAATTGTAATATTCGAAAAATTGAGGTTACAAAGAAGATAATCAATTTACCACCTTTATCACTACAACTATAGGACACAAGTCCAATAATCTCAAAGTGTTTGCAAGCCATATAAAAAGTTTTTTGTTATATCGTGTGTAAATGAAAGTGTGATAAAGATATCAAGGTCCCTGGTGTATTGTGAGAGTCGCTCATCTCTGTTTCCGATGACGTCTGAATATAGACAGCACTCTCTTCCAAATGGACCGAAGTCTCAAACGAAATCTTGTCAACCAATCCCTCAGACGGGATCCAGAATTCCTGCCGGTCGTCGTCCCTTGTCCTGGCAATCGAGCCCCATAGAAAGCAGGATATATCTGATTTGTTGGATTTTGATGATCTGTTAGCGGTTCAGTGTGATCTAAGAGCGGGACGCCATCCCAATCTGAAGGATCATCAGCTCGACCAAGTGCGACTACTGCTCCGCCGGTTTCACTCGCTTGAAGTTCATTTTGAGTTGCTGGAATCAACGCAGTAGATGATGGTTGATCCCCAATTTCTGAGTTAGTTAAAAGGTTTGAATTCTGTTCCTTGATGTTTGATGTCCCATGATCCTTCAACACAATCTCGTAATGCAGTTGGTTCAGATATAGGGGAAGGTATGGCATATCATTTGCCTTACTATCATGCCGTACCGGATATACTAAGACTGAGTCATGACTTTCACTGTCACTGAGAACGACAAAATTACGCTGATACACTCTGGCTAAGGCTTGAAGAGTCAGTTGGTCACCATACTCTTTATCTTGTGTCATTCTTGTGCAATACTCCTCCCAAGACTTGGAGTGGTGCTGATCAAAATCGATGAAATGTACATATCTTTCCTTGTTACTCTCCATGTGTGCCACGGCGTGTGCTCTTAGCTCTTCGTGAAAATCTGTGGTACCATGAAGAAGCATAGAGACTGCATAAAATTGACAATTTCCATCTCCTTTGATGAAGTTGGTGACTGCGAAATCCTTGAGACCTGGAGGCTTGATTGCTTGAAGAGTTGGAGCATTTCTACTCGAGTCAAAAGCCATATCCTGGAGGTTGTATCTTAGTAGGTCTTTGTTTGCCTGAGAATATAAATCCTCTGATGCATATAATTTCACGGGAGCTAGTAGCGGGGAATACGTAGAACAATGAATATGTATCAGTATCTTACCTCGAAGGCTTTGGATCGTCTGTGAAATCTCCAGATAATCAGTGGCTGATTGGAAACATACGTTCTTCATTGACCATCTCACTCGAATGGATTTGAAACGGACTCCATCCATAATCCAAGTCTATCGGCTGGCCCGTAATGCTAAAGAAATCGTCTGGAGAGTTGATGCGTCAAAATGAGTGTCGCTTCTGCTTGAAATGAGCCTGGCCACAGATAGCCCTTCCAAATAGTCTTTGACAGATTCCTTCAAAGAAAATCGAATATCTCTTCTTACCGTTTGGTCTTAATTTTAGGGCAGGTGCTGTTACTAAATGCAGAATCAGCCATACTATCACGTCTCAGTTGAACCTCTAGAATTTAGGCTTACTTTGCTCTGTGCTCGCTTGATAATGTAGGGGAAGTATTCCAGGGGTATTCCGCTGGTTCATCCTGGGGAAATCCGGCTTGTTGTACGTTGCGGCTGACTGAGGCCACATCACAGAGGTTGGATCGAGTGGATGGGAAACGTGTTGTCCTCCCATTACCCAATAGTCAACACTTGATGGTATTCTTTCATTGATCCGGAAGATAGGCATAGGATGGGGCGTGGAATACACGCAAAGAGAGTAGTAGAGTAAGAACTCAAATAAGAGCCTTCGCAGCTTGCAATGCGCTGTGGTCATATCTGCTTTGTGTTGTGAATATCAGAGTATTGGAATTGTTTGAAGATTGGTCCAGTACGTGGATATCGTCAGGTGGTTGTTTGAAGACCTGGACCTACAAGGCAGGCGTTATCTGAAGTTGAAAATTGCAAGTGGCGAATGAAATGACAGTCGTTCCAACGAAGGCGGCAAAGGCACAAAAAACACAGCGTCACGAGGCGTCGAGCATCGGAGTCTTCGGGGATTGCAAAAAGCCGAAGATTACGGTGCATATATCACCCTCATCTAGGGACTGATTCGATCATTTCTCATTGTGTCATCTGCTCAAGAGAGCTTGTTTTCCTAATACTTGTCACCTATTTGATATTGACGGCTAGGACCTCCTTCGGGGGGAGGCTTCTTTGCAGTATCGTATCACATGAGTTGAAACTTGTCTTACTCACATCGCGATACTATCAGATTGTGCATCGCGTCTTTCCTTCCGCTTTCCTTCCACACCATGTGTTACCGAAGTTTTTGGGATCTTTCTTCCGGAAAAGATATAAATCCTCATAATCTGGTTACAAAATCACTATCGAGGCGCAAAATCTGGCCCTCATGGAAGCTAACCCTCATGGACGCTTTGCATAGATCGGACACTTGGAATATGTAACAAGCTTTTTCTGCGTGAAGACAGTGACAGTGGCTGCATCCCTTGCGCTACCTAGAATTGGGGAGTGCAAGACAAAGCAATGTATTCTACCACGCTGCGGTACGCGCTGCACACCACAATCTTGGGGCCAGAAACTTGCACTGTGCTGCTTAAGCTTAACTAAGCGCTTCTCGCGTCAGCGGCCGGGCCCTCGCGGTGTGCTGCTGGTTTCTGTCACTCTTGATACTGTGCCTGCCAACAAGCCACATTTCTATAGATAAACAATCATTGACTGTACTTCATCATCATGCAAAGGAAGGGTTGATGTTTCAACAGATGAAAAAGCATTGCAAGGCGGTTGGACAATTTTGCTACATTGTAATAGATACTATTAAGATATCCTCTGGAAAGATACCAGAAGGTGGGATTTTTTTGGTCACCTATGGAGTCATATGAAGTGTACTCCATAATATTTATATTGGCAAGATATTAGGGGGTTTCAAGTTGAATTTTTTTGCGTATTTTTACGCTACAACAACTTGCCCGTTGTTGTAAAATATGCGTAAATTTTTTACAGCGGGACACCTTTTTAGGTGTCCCGAATTAAAATTACGTTGTTTTACGAAGATTTTTTTTACGAACAACTTGTCTGAATTTTTAAAAATTACACAAAAAAAAATTGAACTTGAAACCCCCTATTATATTGATCAGATATACATGGTAAGATGCACAAGACGAACACGAGTTTGAGCGTCTTGAGACCGATTACCTAAATTCAAAACAAAAAACCTGAGACTGAAGTGTTACAAGCAAACAAAATCACACTTTGATGAAACAAGATCTTTATGATTTCCTTCATTATCAATTAAATTAATAATCCATAATGTTGATCACTTTGATACATCAAAAATGATCCGTACGCATTCTCATCAGGTTTCAATGGAGCCATTTCCTGAAGCATCACTTTTGATGGATCTCTCCCTTGATTGACCACCACAATCCGTCTACCAAACGTATCTGCCAAAGCTTGCAGAGTCAAATGATCACCCGGTGTATCAGACTCCGCTATATAAGCCAAATAAAGCTCCCAAGAGCCATGTGTACCTCTCTCGATATTTGGCTCATACTGTTCTCTTTGATCTATCATAGTTTGTATAACTCTCATCCTTAATTCTTCAGGAGTTTCTTTTTGTCCCATCAATGCTGAAAATGATTCAAATTGCGATGTTCCTTTTTGTTCAAATGGTGGTGTATATAAGGTTTTACTCAACTGTGGAATTTTTTTCGAATTCCATTGTGAAAGTGCATTTGGTATCCGAGAATCAAAGTTATAATGTTCCTCGAGTATTTTCAATGCCTCTGAAGTATCTATATCGATGCCACTCTTGAAAAATCCATTGACGACTCCATCTGAAAGTTTAAAGTAACGATCCATATCAGTTTTCTTTCGTGTTCTTTTCGGATACTTTTCAAAAAGAAGACGCGGGGGTAAGAAAGAAGATTGATAACTAACCAACTCCAGTATCGAAACGTAGTCTTAAGTCTACTTTTTTCGTACCCATAGTTTCTTTGAAGACCTTTGAAGGTGAACTGACAGGTCGAGTTTCAACCTTCTTTGTTCTACTCCCAAAACCAGTTTCAGGCGTATTTTTCTTATAAAAACCAGCCGGGTTTCTGTCTTGACTGGTTACTCCACCATTCTGCAAAGTTCGACTTCGTGAATAGGGCAGTCGAGTATTGATGCGCTCTGAGATAGGTTCGCCTGTTGGGCCTATTATGTAACTCTCCAATTTCTGCGTCTGACTCTTGGGTAATTCCATTGTATGAGTTTCATATTTTCGATTGTCTTGAAAAGAATTCACAGGGGATCCACCAAATAAGATGAATAAGATGAATCAGATGAACTTGAGGAAGTCGATCTGATAGGTTGATTCGAACGATAGTTCGTAGGCGGGAATGAATTCGAACCTCCTAAATTAGGTGCGTTAGTCGAGGGTAAATCTTTCAAAAGAAGTTCATAATGATCATTGTTTAAATAAAGAAAAGAATTTTTTAAATAGTTATTGTCCGGGTTGGCCGTCATGATATCAACACCATCATGAGTACTCCTTTCATTGAGAACCACAAACTTGCGTCGACAAAGGGCAGCCATGGCTTCCAATGTAAGATGATCTCCATATGTTGTAGGTTTTTTTAAATTTTCTAAATACCCTTCCCATGATCCACCAGCACCAGGATCAGCATAATTTGCAAACGGTTTGAATTTGTAGGAATTCATTCGCATATATTCAACTGTTCTTTCTCTAACGAGTCCATGATTTTCTTGACTACCTGTCATGATTAAAGAAATTGCTCTAAATTGACAATTTCCATCACCTTTAATTGCTTTCGTGATTGAGAAATCTGTTAATCCGTCCGGTTTAATCTTTTGACAATTTCGTATTTCAGTGAATTCCCAAATCGATTGATCTACGTTTCTTAGCTCTAAGAGTTGCCGGTTAGCTCTTTGGTAGTCAGCCGGTGATGCGAATTGCCAGTGTGAACTAGAAGGTGATTGGATCTCTGGAGCCATCGAACCACTTATTGTCTTAGTATCAATTTCTGGTAAAGTTCAGAAACTTTACACGTACCTGGATCATGTGGAAGCCCATCATGGATGGGGAAGCTATCATCAAATTTATCAGCATTTTTAAACCCTGAACCTTCTGTTGACATATCTAGCTCGTGTGACGAAGCTGTTCCAAATGACATCCTTTGGGAGGGACTAGGCGTGTAAATATGGGAGGTAACTGCGCGGCGACCAGAAGAGGAAGACAAAGGAAGATGTTCAGACTCTATCTCACTTAACGAAAAAAATAGAGTATAACGTCTCTGCCTTCATCTGATCCCACTGTTTAAATAGCTTACCTTGTAAAGCAGGGGTTTTTGCTTCATTTTTGATCACGTTGCTTCCTCCGCGGCCGATTTCTGTTCAGCAATGTGGAAAACAAGAATGATTAAAGAGAAGTTGTTTGTAGTACAATATATAACGCAAGATCTCGCACCATTGAATTGTCCCATATCTACAAACATGAACCCATATACGCAAGAAAAAATTCCTCAGCTATCATCCAATGCCATGCAGACTACATGACTCAGTCCAATGTGAATATAGCTAGAATTTTCTTACGACTTAATAGCCCAGCCATCGTAAACTTTGGCATCAAAACCATAGTTGAAACCCATAACGCCATTAGCAGCATTATGTTGCCACCTGGTTTCCTTTTCTGGTGAAAATAAATAACTTTTACCACCCAAGTATTCACTGAAACCAAGATAGATAGGGATTCTTTACTTCTCCAAGAAGAAAGAGTGTTTCGAAGTTTGTATGCTAAAGTATAAGGAATGCTTGATGTGCAAGAATGAATACCAGAAGATGTTGCCTCTAGTCTCTCGCGTGCACCACACTCACTTCGAATTTTAGTAAATTGTGATAATTTAGGATATATATGCAATATGCTGAAAGTCTTGATTTTCAAAGATCCAAGGAAGCAAATGACGATTTGAAGAAAAGCAAAAAAAACGAAAGCTAAACAAAAGGTAGAGTAAATGGACTGTCTCCGATTTTGATGTATGAGATATGAGAGGTGTGTTTAAAAAGGACCACGAAATAAGGATCGCGATCCAACGTGTTTCAACGTCCAACGTGATCGTCGGTACAACATCTGAAGAAATGAGTTATATTGTGAATTACTTTGAGCACGGGAAATGACTCAAGAAATGTTTCATCGATTTTCGGCTCTTCCGTTGTCGCACAATTTCTTGATAATTATAGCAAAATTGAAGATTTGCAGAGAAAGTCATGAGAGCCTATTTAACACATACATACAAAAAAGTGTCTAGATAGTAAATCAAGGAGTCGTGGTCCATGGAAGTCGTTCGTATCTGAAGCTCCAATTCGTTTCCTTGATTTTTGAATCTTGTACCAAGTTTTTTTATATGAGTTGATTTTAATTTATTTCTGACGTGCAGAGTTTTGTGAACGCTGATGTAGGGTTTCGGTTTCAATTTTTCCTATCAGCAGAAGTCAGATATGAATTCGTTCATCTGACGACCGCAATGCATGATCCATGAGTAGTTTGAGATAGTTTGACTGTTGAAGATAGGTATCATGGATGACATGGGTAAACTACATGCTTTTAGAATCTAGATCGGATAACAGCTTCAGTGAGCCAGTTTTCTAAAGTAGAATTCGTTGACGACCTGACATGGCACTTCTCGAAGGATTGGAACTGGTGGATCATAATTTTGATCATGAGGAAGATGTAAAGGAACAGAAGGTATTTTAAAATGATCAAGAACGATAGCTGAATCGTCTGTAAGAGATCTAAGGCCTTCAGGACCATCGACAGGTGGAGTCACCATGATATTACGACCAAGATAAGTGAGAAAGATTATCCAAGAGGTGACAGTGAGCCAAGCTGGAATGAGAGTAGCCCATTCTTGAGATGGATACCAATGAATGTGAAGGTGATTCTCGATGAATTCAGTTGGTAGAATTGACCAAAGTAAGTAAAGTAAATAGGCCAAGAGTGATAGTACGTATGTGGCGAATGATGATTTGACTAATGCATTGTTGGCACTCGATGGAGATGGTGGTACGTGACTTTGAGCAGAAAGAGACATGATGGAGTGCTGAGCTGTGTTGATATCGAATGATAGATGAACTACAGTTTGTTTCAGATAGCTGAGCTTTGAATGGGAAGGGGATGAGGTTGAAGTGTCCAATACGCTATCTATCGAGTGCCTCATCAGCTGCTCAGCCTTGAGTCGATCCCTCGCTGCTTTCAAATTCACCAAACCCTAGTAGCAGTCGAGATAAAGGACCAACCTAGTAAAACTCAGGACATAACCAACTTCGACATCCTCGAATCTCGATCGAAGAAATGTCCATCGATCAAACTTCAGTCTCTTTACCGCCCGACCTAAGACTGATTTCTACTACAAAGGTCCGTTCAATACCTTTCATCAGTTGCTCAAAACCGTTCACTGACTTGTCTGCTTCCTCCAGACTACCTTTCGTTTACGACCTAAACAATCTCATTCCAAATCAACCGTTTGTGTGCTTGATTCCCGATCGATTCTGTGTCTGGCTATCGTGGTTCTTGACAATGCCTATTCGATTTTGTTTTGACCTGCATAGGCTCTGCTTCGGGTTCTCAGCATTCCGCAGGGGTTCCTTCGATATCTAAAACACGCGATCGTTTATACACCAAAAGTTGGGACGCGACCTATCAAAAAATCTCTGTCAGTTGCTCTTTTTTATTATAAAAATTGGGTTCATAGACTGCAATACTCAATTCACGTCTCTTGCTTTCATTTAAAAAGGCTGTTGTCTTGGAACTACAGCGCGATTTACTCGATGATTTGGTCACCTTTGTTCGTACCACGGTCCATCACCCTCCATCACTGATCGGCAAACCCATCCCAACTGCGCTTCTTGTTGGTTCGTATTATCATCTTCACCCAAACAACAACAAGTTCAAAATTTCTTATATCTTTATTATACGCGTCAAAAGGATCATCTCGAATCTTGAATGAAGCCGTGGGTATAAAGATTGGAGAATTGACTGTAACCTCAGAAAGCTCTCAATGTATACCTGAATCAATTCCAGTCCAACTCGCCAGTCGAGCCTGTTTGACCTTTGGGTCAACGATCAAGACTATTGTTGCCAGCCTCGAATCCAGCTTGAAACGCTTATCTGCTATTGCCGCGCTTGAAATACAAACAAGGGTATGTGGTACTTCTTCATATACACGTACTTCAGCTCGTCTCAGAATCACTGATTGCCTTCTCGTACACTTTGAAGGCACTCCGCACTCAGCCTTGCCTGTCACGTGACGATGTCGATTGCATACGTAGTCTCTATGCAGCTATATGCGCATTGACAGGTTCCAAGCCAAAGATTGTCTTTATCGTCGAGGACTTCGAAGCCTTTAACTCGGCTGTATTTGAAGAACTTGTCCTTGTGCTTAGGTAAATACCTACTCTTTCTTAAAACCATTCTTAAAATCATTCGGGGTTGAGCTGATCGGATTTTCGGGGTTACTTGAAAGCGGTTTGTTAGGAACAATACCAGTGATGATGGTCTTGTCTCTCACCACTTCAGTAGATGCATTGCACTCGTTACTTCATCGTACATTGATCGTTCGATTACAAGTCACCCCCTTTGCGGTTCATATGGGAGACCAAGGGATCAATTTACTAATTCAAAATGTACAAGCCTCTCAAAGCTTTCCCCCATCATCACACTTTTTGTTCTGACATATACGCATTTTGTTTTCTTTAGCTGATTTTCAATCCGGAGATGGAGTTTGATCTTTCACCCGGGGTGATTCGAAGTCTTTTCCTTGCACATGAACAACTCAATAACTCAATCGATAATGTGATCTCAAAACTTCAATTTATTCATCTTTCTTACTTTCATACAAATCCATTGGTAGCTTTTTTTGATGCTGCTCAATCACGAATCTTGGAAGCAGAAGAATACTCGGATCTGATTGATGGCGATTTAAGTTTCATTGGTCGTCAACTTAGTTTGACTTCATCATGGCAAACAAAGCTTCAAAACATTCAGCATGACCTTTCATTGGGAAAATCCACTTCACTCACCATGTCAGAAACAGACCCAAGCTCGGTTATAGATCCAAGCCCGGAGTCGATGCTCTCAGCTCTGGTCACTTCTTATCGTGAACGGTCTAGTCGAATTTTGGCTAGTGCTCGTGCTTTTGAACTCCTTCGAACGCTTGCTGCTCATTGGCCTGAAAAGGAACGTACCACTGAGTGGTTACTTTATCATCTTTACCAAGCTCAATTACGCGATTATAGTGCCGAATTATGTAGACTTCTCAGGTAATGTCTCACTTTCGATTTCCTAGCCTGTGCTGCTTCTTGTGCCTTCAGTATCTCAGCTCATGAACGAATCGATGTGATGCGATCATGATCATTGAACTTCAATTAGGCATAGTAATGACGATTCAGTCTCAAAACTTATCCCTAGTCTCTTGGCCCATCTCGAAGGCTCGAATGAAGAGACAGAACCATACCTTTCACTTCTTAATCTTTTATCCTCTTTGGCTGATGTTGTCAATCATGGCATCCGTGGTGAAGCTCGTGCACATCTTGTGAATACACATGAACCTCATATGGGGATCACCTCACTTGTTGAAGCTGATCGAAGCTTTTCACGACTTTTAGGAGAGATTTCGGAATCTCTTTCAAGCTTCTTCAAGTTGAGCTTCTTGCGATCGTATACTTTCATCTGAGGTGCAAGTGACTGATAATTTTTGTGTTCTTGGAATAGATCTAGCTTTGGATCCACTGCTCGTGTAATTATGAGAGAGGCTTGGACGTTTGATGATGAGCGGTTATTGAAAGAGGTTGGTTGACTCTTAACCTCAACATGGATGCTTATAAACTTAATGACAGATAAAAGAATGTGCATAAATAATTTCAAGCTAATCAATTGCTTTATTTCTTATCAGGTCTTTCATCCTTCATATGGTGAAAGTTTGATAAAAGATTTAGAAAATCATCCAGATCTAGAGATTGGTAGATTATATGAATTATATAAAGAATCAGGAGGTAGAAGAATCAATTTAGCAGATTGGATTGGGGCATTTGGTGATGGACCTACTAATCCTTCTGGCAAAAGTAAAGGAAAAGGAAAAGGAAAAGGGGTTCAAAAGAGAAGAAAAACCGAGGCACGCTTTTTGAGAGGAGTTGGTGGGTTAGGGTTTATGGGATTTGTGGGAATTGAGAAAAGGAAAGCTGAACATGTGGCTAGGATGGTTTGGTGATTTCAGTTTAAAAAAAAAGTATTTTAGACAGTTATATTGTGAATTATCATGATGGGAAAAGGGTTTTGAGAGTGGGTGGTTCACGATGTGGGGATTTAGATACTCAAGTGGGGAGTTTGATTTGTTTTGAATAGAGAAGTGTTGATTTTGTAGTAAAATTGTGTAGCTTGAAATGATAGTGGAAGATTAAGTGGATTTGAGAAAAGTGATGATGTGATGAATTGGGTTCTGAACATCACTGATGCTTCCAATATCTTGCTAATCTGCTTCACTGGTCCTCAACCTGACAGACCTTTGAAGAAAGAGGGGATGTAAGTAGATACAAGTGAAATGTGGGAGGAGAGTCATTATCCCTCCAAAACTGTTATAAGGAATCAGCTTAGGCTCCCGTTAGTTGTTATAACATTGATTGGCCATGTTTACCTTGATGTGGCAATTGTGCCATTTTGACTTCAAGCATATGCTCTGGGGCTTTGCAGGTCTTTAATTAAGCCTCTCCAGCAAAATCTGTAGAGGCATGGCATATCTAGAGAACTGAATTAAACCTGGGTGTGCACCTTATTTTAGCCCTCCCCTCATAGTTTCCCTGGAGTCTGCATTCAAGGAGTCATTGGTTGACCGCCCTGAGGCAAAGAACACCACCAGACACCTTACAATTCAAGTTTTGGCCCTTGTTGATGCATAGGAAGCCTTAGAATCTAGACTCCAAGTGTATATTGACAGTGATCAAAATGTATGTCATCCACACCAATTCACAAGAATTCTCCTGTTGTTGATCACTGTGTAACTTGATTAACAAAGATTTTAGTGTTATCTTGCATTTTGTTTAGTTTTCCTTGCCACTTGTATTGAGTGAGTATGTATTGTCAGATCTCAATTTCAGTTGTTCCTGTCCAGAATCTTGGAACAAGTCTTCTTAAAAGAGGTATGACTGTGTTGTAGCTAGCTGGGGATAAGCAGTACGGGCCCTGATACCATCTAGACGCAACTGGGGATCCTCCCTTTACATATGGGTTACTTGTGAGATGGCATTTAGCCATGTAAGTTTCTAGAAAAATAATGGAAATGGTAGAATTAAATGTCTACTAGTCATGCATGCACTGTTGGAAAAGTTACCGTGGATTGCAAAATCCAAGGTATCCTTGGATATAGATTCCCTTGGACTGTGTGTCTGAAGAATTGATTTGAGGCTTTCTTTGGTCCCAAAGATTGCCTCAGATCAATTACTTGGAAGCCACATCCAACACTATTGCCATTCACGGAGAACTTGGATTTTCCAATCCAAGGCATTGGTGTTGGAAGTGATGTGGATTACATACCAGAGAAGATTCTGACATATCTGACTTTTGAAAACTCGTTAAAAAGCATGTTGATGTTTGTCTGATGAGCCTGTATCACATTTTCTTTGTCTGAGTATCTCTGGAGTTAAAATTTGTAAAGTCACAGTAAATTAAACTCATTACATCTTGAATTCACAAAAACTATTCACAAAGTCACAAAGCAAGTTTTATAATTCACCAAACAACAAAAATTCAAAAAACTCTTGTTCCTCCCACTGAACAGGATTTAACCACCAAAAATACTTACTCAAGCTTAGTTGATACCCTGCTGTGAGTTGCCTAGTGCAATCAACCAGACATATCATTTTTTGTCTCAGTTCTTGAAGAAACCTTCAGAAACTCATTGGAATTTGGTGATGCATGTTTTGAGTTTTTATGTAGGACAAAGAATTTGAAACTGAATCTAGGTGCTAGTGTTTTAGAGCCAAGTGTGTATTCTAATGCAGATTGGACTGAAGATATAATGAAATAAAATCAACATCAGGATAGGTTTTTATGTTGGGAGATGGTTGGGTTTCATGGAGATTCAGGAAGCAACCAGTAGTTTCATCATCAAGTGTAGAATCTGAGTATATGGCAATTAGTGATTTGTGTCATTCTTGAAGAAAACACATCCACACTGGGTTCCACTTTGTATGTCAATGTGTTGAAGAAAATGTTGTTCAGTTGTTACATGATTCATCATCTGAGATGTTAGCTGATATGTTTACAAAAGGGTTTTCAAAATTTTAATACTCAAACCCAGATTATCTTTAAATCTTTTTGAATCTAATATGTTATTAGCATTGGGGGGTGTTATGATGTTGACCATGTGACAGTTCATGTTACATCATGACTGTTTGGTAAAAGGAGATGGTGAAAGTGGTCAACAGCCTTGAAGGATTCTTCTTGGGGAGTCCTCAATCCATCATTTGTTTTTCTTTCCCAAGTGATTTCCTAGTTGTATATAACTCTTCATTCTTAGGTTCTCCACAAACATTGATTGACTAACCAAGTTTCCTTAAATATGTGATCATTTCAATATTCTGATTGCTGTAATTTTATGTAAATTTGCTTCTCATAAAAATTTGGGATGATCTTGATGTAATCCTGATTTGGTCAAAGCAGCAAAATTGCTTAACCTGAGCTCCTTATTAGGGGGTTTCAAGTTGGCTTTTTTTACATCATTATATGCCACAACAACTTGCCCATTGTTGTAAAATTGTGTCAATTTTTTATTCAGGACACCTAATAACTTGAACCCCCCTAATGGCTAATTCAGTTTTTCCAACTGCATAAAAAATTGTGTAGTAGGGGGTTTCAAGTCAAGAAATTTACGGTGTTTTATGGTCCAACAAGTTGTCCAATTATGGGATACAAAGTAGAATCCGGGAACATGCCCGGCCTTGTGCCCAGATTTTTTCTGGCAGTAAATTTGAATTGTGGGCCCGGATTTTTGGCCAGAAATTCAAAAAACACAGCCAAAAAAATTCCGGGCACAAGGCCGGGCACGTGCCCGGATTCTACTTTGTATTCCACATAATTACTGTAAATTTAAAAAAATTGGGACACCTTTTTAGGTGTACCAATGCTGTTGACCACATATTTGCAGAAAAATAAACGTAAAATTTAAAAAACTTGTCTGTTTTTTAAAAAGTTTCACAAAATTTTTCTGACTTGAGACCCCCTATTGGTGCAGTGAATCTAGCAGAAATCAGTCTGAATTCCCGTCGTACCCTGGAACAAAAACCTCATAATGGTCCCCCCTCAGGGAGAGGAAATATGTTCCTGATTTGGAGGAATCTTCATCTTCTTCCCGGTATACGTGCGTGACAGATACACCACTGCTCCTCTCACTAACGACGACAAATCTGCGCTGGTATAGAGCAGCCATGGCGGTCAAGGTGTAATGGTCTCCCCACGTCCCATCTTCGGCCATTTCTCTCAAGTATGTTTCCCACCCTTCAGTAATATAGGGACGGAAGGACTCTGGATTGGCCCTCATGTACTCCACGACCGTTCTTCTGAGGGACCTGTGATCATTTTGATCCTGCCAAAATAGTAAAGCTACTGCTCTAAACTGGCAGTTTCCGTCACCCGGTATTTCGTCTGAGATAGAGAAATAATTGAGACCCTTAGGGTAGTAAGCACCTTGGACTTGGTTGGCATAACCGATTACATAGTCTCTCGATTCTACCAGTGCCAGGAGATGTTGCTCTGCCTTCCGGTAATCAGAGTAATCACCCGATCCTTGAAATCCTTTCTCCACCTTCTCAATACTCACGCCTTCAGATGAGTCATCACTCTCACTATCCTCGTCTAAGTCGTGTAGTGATGAACTGCTTGAGCTGCGCTCGTATGTGCGTGATGATGAACCACGATATGAGCTCTCCGCATTCGATTTACCCTTGAAAATCTTGGACAAGGCTGTATGATGATCGGAAGATCCCGAGAAAGGAAAAAAAGGTATAGTTCAGTCATTGATGCTCACTTCCTTCCATTCACAAAAGGGATCTGACTGATGAAAAAAGTAGAGTATAGCTTCTCTGCTATATCCGATTGGACATTTCAAATAGCTTACATCTTGTAAAACTGGATTTTCCTGCATTTATGACTAGTTTAGATTCTTCGCGCCCGATGCCTATTGAAAAACGTGGAAGATGAGGATCAATGAAATATTTGTAGTGGACTAGATAATGCAATTCTTCGTACCATCTACTTGGTAGATCCCTACAGAAATTCACATTTGAAAAGTGAGTGACCTCAGCTATGAATACTGCACAAAACATTATGATGCCCAAGTAAAGTTTTCTTACCATTTGAAAGCTCAGCAATTGCAACCTGTGGCATCAAAACTAGAGCTGAAACCCACAACGCTTTAAGAAACATTTTGTTGAGAGCTAGTTCTTTTTTCTTGTGTAACTAGATAAAGTCTATCAAACAAGATTTTCCTGCAATCGAGTACCGCTTGAAAGACTTTACTTCAACTAACTAAAAGAATTTGTCGAAATGTTCATTAAAAAGGGTAATGAAGGGCTGGGTAATTTCGGAAGATAAATGATAGCGTCTAGAGGCTCGTAGCTCACGTGAAATCCACACTTGTATAATCAGCGTATTATTTGTATATCTATATATACTGCAAGATGATTTTTCGATAGCTCAGGTGATTGTAATTAGAGAGCGAATGATTATTCAGATAGCAATAATGAAAAGAATTCGAAAATAGAGGAGACGAAGCCGATGATCAGAATCCGGCTCAAGTTGATGAGTATTTATAAAGAGAAACGAAAGCAATCCCACTTGTTTCCATGTGTATGTTATGTGGCGTGGGAAGGACACCTGAAGAAACGATTGAAGGATGCTTATCATGAGCGCAGATGATTCCGGAAGCGTGTCATCTGTTTTTGCTCTGACCGATGCCGCAGCTCTTAATCGTGGCAGGTGCTTCATGCTTGATGCTTCCCGGAGAACATCTAGAACCTGAGCTGAGTCTATTTTGACTATGACTTTGTAACGGTTTTATCTTGACTGAATAGACTTTCATTTGCGGTACTCAAAGCTACATATGTACGCGTACATAGTTTGCGTACATAGTTTTTTTTGGCGGGGAAAAAAACAAAAGAAGTATATTCGAAGTATTTCGCCCGCCAAAAAAAAACTATGTACGGCAACTATGTACGCGTACATAGTTGCTTTGAGTACCGTAATTTAACTTTGACGATCAAAGGTTTATGGTGGATGCGGTAGGTTTCAGTTCCAAAAACAAAAAAGTAAGATGGTTTTTATTTAGCAAGCAACACGTAAGGGTACGTTTGGTTGCGATTACAGAATGTAAACTCCGTTTGACCCCAGGTACATTGCCCCGGGGCAAATGAGTTTATTGTTCAAAGCGAGTTTTTTTCAAAGAAACTCCGTTTTGGGTACATTTGAGAAAATCATGTTTGGTTGAAAATCCCAACCAGACTTACAATCTCGCAATCACTTCGCTTCCGTTTTGCCACAAAAACCTCTTAGGCCATCTTATAAACTTTTATCTCGCTCTTCAATCTCCCAATTCATTCCATCTCACAGAAAGAAACATAGTCACATTGAATCAAAGTCAAATTTGAACAACCGATGAAAAGAAACCGGCAAAATGGAATGATTGACTGGAATCAGACCATTAAACAAAACTTAACAACCGATCCAATTTGAACACG